CAAGCATTAATAAGCTACTTGAATAAATCGACAATCAGTCCCCTTTTATATTCTGGAAGAAAAATATCACGCTAAGCATAAACTGCTCTCCATCTAGAACATCAAACACACATGCGCATTATCCCGCAGGGATGCCTTTTCGTCACTCACCTACTTCATCTCGCAGCAGCAATCTCCGGAATAGAAGAGAAATGATCTAAATCCGATCTTGGCCGTAACAAACTCTGCCCGAAGGGCGTCGCGCACCAGAGGCGCCGACGACGCGGTGACGCGACGCACTTACGACAGAGAATAGTAGATTAATGCACACCAGACTCAAGCATTCATACTTTATCAAATAAACTAATCAATTATACAAATAGCGCTCCGCGGCGCGGCAGAATACGAAGTGTCATGAATTGTGGCTGGGCACTACGGACAGCCGCATTGACTTCCTTATTATTTATTTCCTTCCTGTGAAAGTCAATGGTTACAGGTTTTCAGCTTTCTTCAAAATGTTGTCTTTAGCGTTTAACACGGGAGTCACTAACCTCTAAAACTAAGAGCTACTTTCGGGCACCGATTAACGTGGAGGGCTACCAGTTGGATAAACACTTCTCAAATAACAAATTGCTCAATTTACTTATTATAATTTAAGTTTTTGGTTATTTTTTAATAATGAATAATATTCATCCAGGTGTAGTCACTGATCATGTTATGATTCTCTCAAAGTTACCAACAATGATTTAACAGGGTAGGAAATACCCCGTAATTAATATATCAACGTGCAACACTATTTTATTTATCTTTGCAATATTTACATTTTTAAATGATTACTTCTATATTAGAGAAAGCTTACTTGTAAGTGGTGTTATGGTGAGCTATTTTAGAACAGGCCTGTGAGCAACACACGAGAGCCTCGTGAGCTATCTGGTGCCCATCGGTACCATATTTGGTGACTCCTGGTTTAACAGAAATGAAATTCATAAAGGTTCGTAACCATCAGGTAGCGCTTAAAGCATGCGACCTGCTTATGCTTCCTTCCTTAAGCGCCGGAATAGAAGCCATTCATTTATTAGCTATCCAATTTCATCCTCAGTATATCCTTTTTACACAGATGCTGCCCCCTTCGTGGGGTATATTATCGGGGCCGCCAATGCGCTTCTAACGGGCAATATAGTCAATACATTCTGAAAAAAAAAAAAAAAAATACTGCTGTACATGTTCCTAGTTGCATAGGAAATCGCTGACTCTCTTTTGCTTTATTTTCAGAAACTGGTATCAGAAGCAGAGCCGCAGCTGACTCCATCTCTCCTTTTAAGATGATAATCCCATAACCACAGCATACACAATTTGCGTCAGCATTCATTTATACATTTTAAGTTACCCCAGAACACCTCATCAGTTTCTCACTGCTCAACACATCCACACATTTCGTTCAATAACATTTTTGGTTTCATAACACCTTAAAGTCATAGGACCATTCAGGCTTCCCACCAGATTCATAATCCAGTCACTCATTCAGAATTGGAGCCACCACCACAGCAGCACACAAGGGCTATCGTAACAACACATACAAACACTAGGAAAGTAGTCTCCCGACACCTTCAAATCTTATATCCGACTCAGCCACAGCCATCTCAGGGAAGCTCAGAGGACCCTCACCAGCAGACGCAGTAATCCCAGCGGCCAAGGGCATGGGCCTAGTCCAGGGAGAGAATACGACCCAACCATACCAGCTTCCCGAGGGCAGAGGAACTACCCAGTCTCCCAAGGGCGCGGGCATGACCCAGCCATCTAGCTTCCTTTCTTCCTTCCAGCTGATTTGCACTCAGCCTTCTCCCCCTTTTCACTCACCTAACTCCAGTAGGAGTTCTCTCCCTGCCCAGGCCCCCTTGTCACCCCCGCCCCCCCCCGGCCGCTGCCACAGAAGTTTTCACTGCACCCCAACTTTTCTAACTTCTGTAGGACCCCGCCCCCCCCATGGCTCTGGCCCCCGCAGGGGCGTTACCCCGAGCTTCGATTCTCGCAGGAATCATCTCACTGCCCTGGCCTTAGCTTTTTATATTATGTCATTCCATAATGACATATAGTATAGCAGTATTTATTTTTCTCTCTGTTTGATTTTATTTATATAAATTTATATCTATATGCACCCACGCATATAAATATGAATTTATATATAGTGCTGTCACCCTCACGCTCTGTTCCCGCAGGAACACCCCCAGAGCACCTATACCGCCCGTCACCCTCCAGTAAGAAGTCTTCACCTCCCCCTCATCTTTCCCGACTCCTACTGGAGCAGCTAAATAGCTCACCCAACCCCGAGCTGTGACACGAGTCATGTCACCGACCCTCCCCGGCCCTAGCTTTTATTTATGTTTATTTTTGTTTATTTCTCACACTTATCTTTTATTTTTTTAATTTATTTATATATATGTATATATATATGCACCCACGCATATAAATATATATTTATATATAGTGCTGTCACCCTCAAGCTCTAACTCCCGCGGAGTTAATCCCGAGCACCGGACCCCCGCAGGGGTCATCGCCCAACTGCCATTTCCCCCTTCAGCTGGGGCTTCACCGACCATTCCTTTTCCCGACTCCAGCTGGAGATGGCACATACAGCTCTCTCTCCCGCAGGAGAGCCAAGAGCTTCGACTCTCGCAAGAGTCAGTAAAAACGCCCCCCCAAGGCCCTAGATTACCCCATTATATATTTATATATCTATATGTTTCATATAAATATATAATTATATATAGTGCTGCCACCTCCCAGCTCAATCTCCGCAAGGAGTGTTCCTCGAGCAAATTACTCCTTTGGAGTCCCCGCCCCCCCTGCCCCCCTTCACCCCCCTCTCCAGCCGGAGTCCTTCACTCCCCTTCCCTTGTAATGACTCCAGCAGGATTCCCGCCCACACCATGGCTCTGACCCCCGCAGGGGTCTCCCCGAGTCTCTACTCCAGCAGGAGTATTCACAGCCCAAGCCAACTCTGCTCGGGTTCCCGCAGGAACCTGTTTCACCCTTTGCTCCAAAGGAGCCCTCTTTACCTTTTCTTTTTCAAATAACTATATCCAGCAGCCGGATATAGCATTTCAAGCCTTTTGGGGAGTTTCTTCGAATACACGGCTGCTGTCCCGAGCTTCATGCATTTGGGGAGCTCTCGAGAACCACCTGATCTCGTACTCCCCTCACATGCTCTATGGACCTGGCGGGAGCCCTGGGCTCAACTATCTCCGAGCTCAGGGTTCTCTCCCGGGACAGCATGCCAAACCTGCTTACAGCTGTCAAGCAATATCTAAGTGTGAACTCTTGAAGTGAAGTTTTTAAACTAATTTCGAGAGGAGCACGTGATATAATTGACAGCAGCTGGCCACCTATCTACACTCATTAGTTAGCCAATCAGATCTATCCTAACCCACTATAAGTAGCCTAGCTAGACATTACTCCCTTATCTTCGTTTTCCGAAGAAACCCCCCATCCACCCCTTTCTCCTCCTTTTCTCCTTTACAAAAAGGGGAGCTCTCGAGAACCACCTGATCTCGTACTCCCCTCACATGCTCTATGGACCTGGCGGGAGCCCTGGGCTCAACTATCTCCGAGCTCAGGGTTCTCTCCCGGGACAGCATGCCAAACCTGCTTACAGCTGTCAAGCAATATCTAAGTGTGAACTCTTGAAAAAAACCTTTCACAGGTTAAGATTGTTTAAATTAAAAATAATTGCACAAATGCTGATCTCTCTTTTTGAACCATGTAATGAAGTTGATAGCTCCCTAGCAACCAGGATGAAGGAGGCGGAGAGCCTTTGAATAATATTATTAAATAAATAACATACAACAAACAGGCAGTGGCAGTGTCTCACAGTCGACAACCGCCAAACTAAAAGGAAAGCAAACATAAGCTCCAGCAATGGCATTTTTCACTGCTGTCTCCAGAGCTCCTCAGTGAGACTCGAAACAAGTGGTGACACAGGTCATACACATATACAGTCATTAACACAAAATCGCTACAAACCTATTTTGATGCTAACAAAACTATTTATACATTTCAATTAAATATCAGTGCCTTGTGGTAAATGTCGACACATAGTACTACAGTGTTCATGGTGACCTGAATTCTGTTCCCTGCTCATGGTCCTTTACCAATCCTTCCATTCTCACTGCTCCCAGTGCTTTCCTGCCTATTATATATATATATATATATATATATATATATATATATATATATATATATATATATATATATATATATATATATATATATATATATATTGTAATTGGTAATTTAAATTCCTTTTGAGCTGGTTGCCATGTCTCTTATTATATGTATCTGGGCATACCAGTTCTTTAGAAAACAAAATCACTTTCACTTTCATTTTAAGGACATGAACAGTGACTCTCTCTCAAACTCTCTCACCTTTTTTTTAATACAAAACAGTGTTTATGAGAATAAACACTAAGATGGCAATTTTAACTCATAAGCGTGGATTTGGCAGCAATACACTGTGAAAGTAAAGTAAATTCAGCTCTCTCATACTGTTTGAGATACGTGTTTCCCTCTGTGAAACAGCTTACTGAAAACAGCTGTCAGTTCACCTCATGATTTTTGTGAACTCTGGGAAGATGTGACCCACAGTTAAGAAAACCCCATCCTAAAGCATGAAAATGATACATCAGGGGTGGCCAACCCTGTTTCTGGAGAGCCACCTTCCTGCAGATTTCAGTTTCTACCCATATCAAACACCCCTGAACCAATTAATTAGGACCTGAACACCATGTGATAATTACAGGCAGGTGTGTTTGATATGGGTTGCAACTGAAATCTGCAGGAAGGGGGGCTCTCCAGGAACAGGGTTGGCCACCCCCGTCATACATGGATACTCAACTTGTCCTGAATACTGCTCTTTTGGTTTGTTCACTATCATTGTGTTGTCATGATTTTTCTGGTCTGTTAATGATTGTATGATGTTTATCAGTTATCCGTTAACTCATAAATGAACTTGACATGAATCTGTGTCTTTTCTTTTTTGGGTTTCAGTCTGTCTGTTTGCAGTATTACAGAGGAACAGTGTGGGATCCTGACTTCGGCCCTGAAATCAAACCCATCACACCTAAGAGAACTGGACCTCAGTGTAAATCCGATTAGAAATGTGGGAGTGAATCTCTTATCTGACGTACTGAAGGATTCACACTGTAAACTGGAGACACTGAGGTGAGAAACATTACCAAAACAAGAATCACAATGTTTAAGATTATTTCAGCAGTTTTAATCAAGGCCCTTTATTCTTGATATCTTACAAAGATCCCAAGTTCACGTTTAGAGAGATTAGGATGATTTCTTTCCAATGCCTATGTTGATGTTACAGTAAAGCATATGTTTTTCTGCTGTTTTATTTCCTGCTTTTCTTATTTCTATTATTGTAGGTTAAGCTGGTGTGAAATGACAGATGAAGGTTGTTCTGCTGTGACTTCAGCTCTGAACTCAAACCCATCACACCTGAGAGAACTAAACCTCAGTGGGAATAAACTAGGAGACTCTGGAGTGAAAAACCTCAGTGATTTACTGATGAAGCCACAACTCATGCTGGAGGAACTACGGTTAGTATCGTTATACTGTACAGGAGTTACACTGGGATTAAGTGGGATTCTTGTTATAAATCAGACACACATTTACTTTGAAACAAGCGTAAAAGTGAGAACAGATTAAAAATGGAGCAACAAAGATTATTATTCTTATTCTTGAAGGACTCTGTTGACAGGTGCACTTGCCAGTAGCCCTTAGCCCTTGGCCCTGCCCAGGCCATCGAGGATCTCGTCTACTTGGGGCATGAGATACACATTAAAAACTGAGACTTCAATCACATGAGGTCTTTTCAGAAATAAAGGGTGTTGTCTGGTTTAGAGACAATCGAAATTGGGCTCGACCAGTGGCTACGAGATGGCTCAATGAGTGCTAGCACTTTCATCTGTGAAATTTCCTCTTCTTTAGCCAACCAATGGTGGAAAAACCCATAGAAATAATGGTATAAAAAAGAAAGGCTCTAAACTTCCTCAAATACTCCTCTTTTGGTTTGTTCAGTTATGTTTCCATAATTTTGCTGCTCAGTCATTTTACGATGTAATTACTCGCAAATGATCTTCACATAAATCTCAGTCATTGTCTTTTCTCTTTGTGTCTTTAGCCTGTGTGGATGCAGTATTACAGAGGAACAGTGTGAGATCCTGACTTCAGCTCTGAAATCAAACCCATCACACCTGAGAGAACTGAACCTCAGCTGGAATAATATAAAAAACACAGGCCTAAATCGCTTATGTGACATACTGAACGAATCACACTGTAAACTGGAGACACTGAGGTGAGTAACATTCACAGACACACTGTTTAATCCACGTTAATGTTTTCTTTATGCACCTTATTGTTTTGAAACGTGTAAAAAGCTGTAAAAGGTTTGCTATTTGGATGTTTTGGAAAACACTAATAAAGACTAATAGTGTCAGCAGAAATTAGTCCTCTTACAACTATATTCCTCTTAAATTGAACTCACAAAAATAAACTTTAAAGTAATTTGTTACACACACACACACACACACACACACACACACACACACACACACACACACACACACACACACACACACACACACACACACACAGACACAGTTGCAAGGAAAAGTTTGTGAAGCCTTTAAACAGATTTGTGGTTCTCTACCCATAAGGTCAAACTGGTGTGTGGTTTAATAGTGCAAGGTAGTTTTAACCAACACATTCAATCCCGTCAATATATGTGCGTGTGTGTATGTGTGTATATATATATATATATATATATATATATATATATATATATATATATATATATATATATATATATATATATATATATATATACATACATATATACATATGTGCGTGTGTGTGTGCGTGCGTAGACATTCTTGAAATTAAACCACCGAAGTATTAACTGATGTATTTTTCCTTTTTCTTGGTTTGTCTTATTCTAGATTGTTTGGCTGTGGCATCACTGATGTTTCTTCTTTAAGTCAGTGTTTGATGAATACAAAAGCTCTGCAGATTTTAAAAGATCTTGATCTGAGTTTCAATCCCATTGGAGACTCAAAGCAGGAGCTCATTGATGTGCTACAACAGTCAAACTGTAATCTGAGGTCAGTAAACAACACTGATTTAAAAATCTTCATTTCATTCTAACAGTTTGTCTGAGTGTGCAATAGTTAAAGAGAAAGGAGTCGGAGCTTTATCCAGCAACAGCTGCTTTATTAATGGCTTCAGCAGTGAATTATTACAGTCTGAGATAGTCTTGGACAGACTGTAGAAAACACTGGTCAAATCAGTGCAGATTCAGCTTCAGCAGCTATGCAAACTTTCTCTACAAACCAGGCACGTGCACACATAGGGCTCAACCTGTGCAGTGCACATGCCCTTTTTGGTCTTGGATAGAAAGTGTCCTTCCAAAACGATCAAAAGTGCCCCCGCGACACATGCCGCCCTTCAGTAGGCCGCCCTTCGCCCCAATAACAACAACAACAACAACAACCACACCCCACCCCCCCGCTCTTCAAAAATGTATCCTGCACATGCCCTTTGGACAGTCTCTGCACGGGCCTGCTACAAACAACATACAATATACTCTTATTTTTGTGTAGCAGTTTTATTTTAAATCAGAGTAACATTATTTGCTCCTTATCTCATTTTTGTAATATCAGTCTCTAATTTGGAAACACTTAACCCATTAAATGGCACCCCTGGAAAACCCTATTGCTTTATAGATATTGCTTTATGTAATTTTAAAAGAGCAAACTCAGTAAAAAAAAAAAAAAAACATTAAGACTGCAGTCAAGGCTATTTTATTCACTTAAACTTTGGATGAAGTGATTATTTTCTCTTTAATTTAAATGATGCCAATATTTTTTAATGAGTACACTATTCCCTCATTTCCACTGAGTGGTACGGTTCAGTTCGGTAAGGTACAGGATCACTTTTATCTGGCTTGTTTCTCTACTGGCAAATTGTACCATTTTGGTAGGTGTGGTATTAGATAGAAAGTTGCAGTTGATGTCGTTCTTAATCAGCACGAAGGTCGTACACAAATCATATGAGAAGCACTTCTCACAAAACAAAAGATGCTTTATACACATACAGCGGATGGACCTCAGACAGTATTTCATTAGTGTGGTGTTTGGCTTGCTTTTGTGGCCAGGATAGCATCAGTTGTTCTTGGTAATGACAGTTGTTGGTGGATGAAAACATTTCCTGACACGCTCCTCCAAAACACCCTAAAGTGGCTTAATAATATTTAGCTCTGGTGACTGTGCAGGCCATGGGAGAATTTAAACTTCACTTTTATGTTCATCAAATCACTCTGTCACCAGTCTTGTGGTGTGTATTCAGTCTTTCACAATGTTCTGTGGTAATAAATTTATTTTAAAAAGAAATAAATTATTAAAAGTGTGAAGGCACAAATTGTAAAACATAAACCAAAAAAGTGTTTTTATCATCAAGATTCTCTCAAGATTTTTACTTCTTTTACTTAAAGAATCGTTATATATAATCGTTATCGTTATCTGCTCCAGCAGATTATATTAAAAAATTGTCAAAATTAATGTCAAGATTTTATTAATTTATTTTGATTTGCAGACCCCCTAAACCCCTATGATTTGACCATCAGTCAATATATAAGATTCATACATTTTAATTCCAATACGTAAATCCTGCTCACCATAAATGAGTATACCCCCTAATAAAAATCAATATTTTTATCCATTTCTCAAATAAGAGTTGGATCCCCAGCATCTTTAGAAATAGAAAGATAATGCATTTAAATTTGAACAAATTATTGCAAAAAATAAAAAATAAATAAATACCAAAGTTTTATTAAATTGTGTATGTTTTTATTAAATTGTATATCATTTTCTGTTACTCTTGATTTTTCATTTTTATTAAAATTTTATTTTATATATTTATCCCCAACATATTAATTTGGCTGTGCTAATTTTTTCTGTATTTTGATTACATGTATTTAATGTGATTTTTTTCTTTCTCAAAAATCATTTAAATAAAGTAACTAGTTTGCACTTTGTCTAACTGAATAATAATTGCTTTGTCTTCTGGTTTACCTTACAGATTAGACGATCAACTGCCAAAGCCAAAAAATCAAGGCTTTGGATGTTGTATATCATAGTTTTGAGTGAAGAAATCACCAGGTGAGGATCCACGGAAGAGCCTTATTACCGTCTATGAAGAGAAATAACAGAGGGATAAAAGTATAAATGAGATTTATTGGCTTGAAGTGACTCAGACTTTACAATGAAATAATGCAGGATGCATGATAGAAACATGATATTGAATCCTTAATGCTGGTTTAGTTTTCAACCAAATGATTATTTTGTTTTTTTAAGAGGAAGAAGTTTAAATGTCTAGCTACGAGTATAATGATATAAAAATGAATCATAATGTAACAAATATAGTGATGTTTGGAAAAATAAATCTGAAGTTTCTAATCAAAATTTGATTGTCAAAGCTAAAGTATTATATTTAAATTATGTGAACAATCTTCAATAATGATGTGCTTGGTTTAATTCTCATTAAATAAATTTAATTTGGTTGTCTTTGTGCTTTGCACTAGCAATGTTTACCTCTATATTTGCTGTTCCATATTGGGATTGGGATCATGCAATCATGTTAAAGTTCACAACACTTTCAAAGTTCTTGTATACCATCTCCAGAATATCTTGACTCACACCAAATTTTTGTAACCACCCAATGAGATATAATCTCTGCATCGCTTTTTTTAAAATACACATTTCCAGAAAATGTCAATCCACTATCAGTAAATGTTCCTAAATATTTAAAACATCCATTTATTGTTGATAAATAGTGCTAATGTTGTTTTGAAGTTATTCTACACTCACAAATATTCAATATAGTGTGGTAAACAATATGGAAGCTGTTAAAATGAAGTAATGTGTGAATATAAAACCAACTATACCTCAGTCAAACAGACGAGGTGCGACTGCAGTTGATTAAATAGTTTTCAGCATCTTTCACAAACAATGCTTGTAATGTTTTGCTTTTATTGTTTTTTGGAGTTAATACACATTTCAACACTGATAGCTGATGAGCTGAATATATTATAGGAAATTAAATTGACAGACCACTGTAACTAAAAATTAAATTAAATGCAGAAACATGTTAAAATGCTGAATAATAAAGTGAGTGATACTTAAATCATCCAATATAATATTTGCTTGACTGTTGAACTTAAAATATAGAAATTAAATGTAAATACTTTATCTTCAATGACCAATAATAATAATAATAATAAAAAAATCAGTTATAAATAACTTAAATTAAGCTCTTTTTTGTCTTCTGAAATCCACATTTTTACACCATGTTTTTATTTATTTATTTTTTACTATTTATAATTATATAAAACTTAAATGACCTTAAATGATGTTATCAAAAAGCAACATTAGTCTGAAAATGTGAAGAGACTGAAAGAGAGAACAAATACAGTTAAACGGAACTGAAAAAAGTTTGTATGATTTAGTGATTTTTGCATTTGATATGCATATTTGAACATTTTACATTTTGAGAGTTTTTGTTTTACAGAAAAAAAATATTAGTGCATTATAATTTTTATATTTTATCACCTTTCGAATTCCTGTTTGGCTGTCATTTTGTTTAAATCGCCTGTCATTATTCAACTACTCCTTTAAAATAGCAAATAAATAAATAAATAAATAAATATATATATATATATCATAATGATAGTAATAATAAAAATGTCAAGATCAAGGTAAATGGACAACATTGTTTAGTACAATCGGTCGTCGTACATGAGAAGAGTAACAGAAACAGGTAGCCTATGTTGTGCTTTACAATGCTGTCCAGTTGAAGGCGCTAATGAACCAAAACTGATTTTATACTTTTATATAAGATGAAACCAACGATACTATTGGCTTAATCAGCGAAGGTGTGTTTGAGCAGTGCTTGATTTGTTTCAAAGGTTTCTGGATGGTGTTTCTGCTGCACAAGACCGTCTATAAGACAGTAAGTTAAGCTTTTAATAAGATTGAATACAGAGTTATCTTATCTTGCTTAGACATTTTATTTAAATTAGTGATTTAAAGGTTGCGGAAGTAGCCTACACAGTATCCAAGGAAAGCACGAATGACCTATACCGTTTGTAGCGATATAATGCTAAAGATTTATTTTCATGGTTTTCCTTCTAAAGGTGTCTTGCTGTAAGGCGAAAAAGCATATAGTGGCCTAATCACTTTATTAGTTAAAAATAAGTATTAACTCGATCGCGATTAAGTTTTCTTCTCATTGTTTAGCAAAGTGTTTATTACTGTATTTTTTGCAATACAGAAGCCACATTTCCAAAACTGTTAGTGTTCATTACCTACTTAGACTGAACAATTCTGCTCAGGCCCAAAACGCACTACCAACACAACAGTTCAAAGTACGGCTCAAAATAAACTTGTTTCACCATACCACTGACAACACTTCAGAAAACATACATTTCATTCATAAGTTATCTAAAAACAGTAACAACAGGCAGCATTACAGAAATTAACTATTTTTAAATTTCAAATGAATTTTCATACGAATAGTAATTTAAACTTGAATGTCAATATCATGCAAATAGTACGGTAACATTCATGGGAAAATCAGTTAAAATTTTTCGAAACATTTGCTAAATTGCATGTTAGAGAGGCAAAATTTGTGTCATACAACAAAACGATTTCTGTGAGGTGTTGTTATACACTTCAGAATTTGTCATGGGAAAATGTGACCATTGTACTTAAATAATTACATTAGTCTTTGAACTCTTTCACTGTCAGTGTCTTTATCACTTTACTGTATCACTATCTATCACGCTTCTTTCCCTACTAATCTGTGTTACAGTTTTTGATCCATATTTCCTAACAAAATAAGTTTGAATCTATCTCTTCCTACAAATAATTAAAAAAAGGTTTTATGTATTAATTAATTTGTAATGATTGTCATTTTGTGGTACAACTTATATTCCAAAATCGATATGGCAAAAAAATGAATGTAATTTGCAAAATTAGTTTTGATAAAAAAATTTTTAACTGTTTTGAAATTAGTTTTTTATCATGCGAAAAAAAGAGTAAAAACTGTATAGTTTTTTGCTGCTTGTAGTATTTGAATGAGAAAAGTGTTCGGGAATTTGGAACAGTTGGTTTATTGCAGGTGAGGCAGTGGCACAGTAGGTAGTGCTGTCACCTCACAGCAAGAAGGTCGCTGGTTCAAACCTCGGCTCAGTTGGTGTTTCTGTGTGGAGAAAAACATCAAAGATGAGGGCGATGCAGTGGTGCAATAGGTAGTGCTGTCGCCTCACAGCAAGAAGGTCGCTGGTTCGAACCTCAGCTCAGTTGGCGTTTTATGTGTGGAGTTTGCATGTTCTCCCTGCCTTCGCGTGGGTTTCCTCCGGGTGCTCCGGTTTCCCCCACAGTCCAAAGACATGCGGTACAGGTGAATTGGGTAGGCTAAATTGTCCCGTAGTGTATGAGTGTGTGTGTGTGAATGTGTATGTGGATGTTTCCCAGAGATGGCTGGAAGGAAGGGTATCCGCTGCGTGAAAACTTGCTGGATAAGTTGGCGGTTCATTCCGCTGTGGCGACCCCGGATTAAAAAAGGGACTAAGCCGACAAGAAAATGAATGAATGGTTTATTGCATGCATTTTGTGAAAAAGCAATACAATTATTCTCAGTTCACTCTGCATAGACTTCTGTTTGGCTGATTGTGTGAATTTTTGAACTTGTGGCTTCAGTACTGCCTAAATAAATGCTTGTTAGTGGTTAAAAACAACTGTAATCTAGCATACATGTAACAATAGCAGTGTGTTGTTTGATTGATCAGTAGCTAAATAGCAATGTGTTTGTAACCTAATTAAGTTTTGTATAAGTTTGTATTTTGAAAAACTCTGCATTTGTCTGTAGTTGTAATTATTACCTTCTTTCTTCTCCTGATGCATCATGATCTTTATCTCAGAGACTCATTGTCATGTTCAGTCCATGACAATCATCTGATTGTCTTCACAAAGATACCAGTGTTGAACTATTGGTCTGCAGAGGAGTGAGGGAAGATGAGTTACTCACAGAAACACAGGTGAGTCTGCAGCAGTTTTGTGATTGTGGCTGAATCATTGAAATTTACTGAGGTTTCAGACTTGTACTGTAGAAAATAAAACTCTTTTCATGAGCAGTGTTTTCTCTCACTTTTCATGTTAAATGTCATGTTTTAGATTGAGCCACAGGTTAAAGCAGCTTGAAATAGCTATTAACCTAACATATTGTCAGAGCTAAATATGTTGATCATTTATCATAAATGTAAAGCTAAAATAAATTAGGAACATTATTGCATACTACTGCATTCACCCCACAGTTACAGACATTTATTACTAATATATGGTTGAAATTGGTTTATTAATGTATTAATATATATTTATATATAAGTAAAAGTTAATTAGATTTGTTTGTTTTTCTTAGATTAAGAAATTTAAATTTCACTTAACAGGTCTGATCTGTTCATCGGGTCTCAGAGAGAGATATATCGTTGTATTGTTAAATTGTCATTTCCACCCTAAATCTCATCACAAGGTCTGAAGTACCACCTGTAGTCACTTTTCTCTTTTTTGTGTCATCAGTGTAAGATCAGGTTCGTGTGTATCCAGCTCTGTGTCTGTGAAGAGTGATGATTCAAAACAAGGAGGTCTCCCAAATTTCAGTAGAGAAACTCTGTCACCTACCACAAGGTATTTCTCAATAAAATGTTAATTAACAAATATTTAAAACAAAGATGCCTGTAACACAACAGGACCTGCTCCCTGATATATAATTGTAAAAATTCCGTCATAATATGTTATTGGTTGTCATTTAATTTGCATATTTTCTAATTGCTTTTTTCATTTATATTTTTATAGTGAACTTTCATGACGAGCATATAGGCTAAATTATTCACTTACTTATTTGACAAACTAACAAAAACTCCTATCTGCCCTAAGTTATATCTTAGCGCCACTTCAGCCAGCGTTTTATAGTTAGGAAACATTTCTCCTAAGGACGTGATCAGAAATTTGCTGGATTCTCTGAATGTGGGATTTTCCGATCCTACAACAAAATTTTCCTCACCGGGACAAAATATTGCAGCATGAGCTCCCTCTGCACCTGCGTTTGGTAGTGCTCAGCTCACAACGCACTGAAAAGCACCTGTCCTCCTTGCTGCCACTTGGTTGGCCCGTAACTGCTGTCGGCGACTGAGGATTTTTGTCTGTTTGTTCCTCATCTTCCACTGCATCAATTCCTCTTTTTCACCTTTATTATTAATATCACAACTATTTGGCCGTTTAAAGAAACTTCTCACACTCAGCTGCTGTGACATTTTTGCAACTGTACGCAGTGGTGACAAGAGGAGACAAAACAAGGACAATTGCCATCAGCTGGACAGGAGTGGGAATTAATTAAATATATATATTTTTATTATATATATATATATATATATATATATATATATATATATATATATATATATATATATATATATATATATATGAACGGTTGAATGAACGGTTATGTATTTTTCTTATGCATGGAAATGTAGCAATTAATTTTATTTGCTTACAGTGTTCAAAATGAGACTTCAGGCTCAGACATCCAGAAACAACACAACAATTTTAAAGACAATCTTCAGGGGCTCTTCCAGGTATATTACTGCACTACCCAAAGAAAAATATCCATATAAAGATTGTTATAATAATAATAATAATAATAATAATAATAATAATAATGTTAATATATATATATATATATATATATATATATATATATATATATATATATATATGTGTGTGTGTGTGTGTGTGTGTGTGTGTGTGTGTGTGTGTGTGTGTGTGTGTGTGTGTGTGTGTGTGTGTGTGTGTGTGTGTGTGTGTGTGTGTGTGTGTATGTATGTATATACAGTATGTGTGTGCATATATATGTGTGTGTGTGTGTGTGTGTGTGTGTGTGTGTGTGTACAGTGTGAGTAACAATTTTGTGTTTTATTGATTTATTGTTGTACGATTTATTGCGATGCAAAAATGTCACAATATGCATCGTGGCGTTATGACGATTTGATTACGATATGACGTCCGTTTTCTCTTATTAGTTGAGCTGTTTGTACGTGAGCTACGTTCCACCTGCTATTGCACGTGAGCTCAGATTGCAGCAGCAGTAATGTTAGCAGACCAAGATGAGTGGAGCTGAAATAGAGGATGGCCCATCCTCTCAAAATCAGACGTCTGGCAAGATTTCGGTTGTACAGTCATTGCTTTAGACTCGTCCGCTTTTTGACACGCATACTGGGTCAAACATCCTAAGTTTTAAAGTCTTCACAGTGATTTACATAAAGAGTCACATACTGTATTTATAAGGTACAATTCACCCTAAAATATCATTCTGTCTCTATATAATGTTCCCGCCGCAAAATCACACATGACGTGAGCTGACCGTGAGCTGTTACTACAGAGGGCGGACTGATAGGCGCGGGCGTATGGCAAGCCGTTTTAGCATTTAAACCTTTGTTCTGACTATCCATAAATATATTTAGAGATATCTCTAATTATAATTCGACTAGTCATAATTATTATTCGACTATTCAGAATGACAATTAGAGATATCTGCAATTACAATTGTACTAGTACGAAATCCGATTGAAGATATCTGCAAATATATTATGACTAGTCATATTCCTCCATTGACTTCCATTGAAAAATATTTGCAGATATCTCTAAATGAGCTTTGACTAGTCACAATTGTAATTACAGATATCTCTAAATTAATTTAATTAAATATGAATTAAATACCTGGAAATGTGGATTTTTTTGCACACACAAAAAACGCAAGTGACCAAGCAAAGCCTTAAGCTCTTACTGTTAAATTCAATTGAATAGAAAGCTTTTTTTTTGCCCCTTTACTTAAATTGTTCTTTAATTTTGTCTGTCATTTCAATAATATTTTTAAGAAGTTTTTAATTTTGTTTTATTTTCCAGAGACAGGCCTGTTTAATTTATTTTCTTAAAGAAGGTTCAGTTTAACAAGTTAAAACAAAAGAAATACATAAAAAATAGTTTACTTGGTAAAATTTGCATTTCAGTTTAATTTTCAATTTTTATTCCAAATATCGTGATACATATAGAATCGTGAACATTATACCGTGATACACATCGTATCGTGAGCTGAGTGTATCGTTACACCCCTAATATATATATATATGTGTGTGTGTGTGTGTGTGTGTGTGTGTGTGTGTGTGTGTTTGGTTAAGTTTTATTTGTTTTTCTTGTTGTAGGATCTTGAGAACCAAATAATGAAGTTTCTGAAGAATGAGCTAGAAAAGTTTAAGAAAATATTACATGAAGAAAACACACACTACTTTGTAAAGGACTTTAATGAGAACAGGTGCAGAATAAAAGAAGCAGCTCTTGATATCACATTTTACTTCCTGAGAGAAATGAAGCAAGATGAAGCTGCTAATACTCTAGAAGGTGAGAGACTGTCAGATTATCACTTATAAATATAGGAGAGAAAGCAAACACAGTTATAGCAGTTTTTTGTTCCTGTGTTTAGATGAGCTGTTCTTCATTCATCAGCTGAAATGTGGCCTACAGAAGAAGTATCAGTGTGTATTTGAAGGAATTGCACAGCAAGGAGACTCCACACTCCTGAAGAACATCTACACAGATCTTTATATCACTCAGGGTGGCAGTGAACAGGTCAATAATGAACATGAGGTCAGACAGATTGAAGTTGCTTCCAGACGTCATAAAGCTCAAGAGATACAGGTTGAATGCAGACATTTGTTTAAAGCGTCTGAACAAGACAAGCAGATCAGAACTGTCCTGACAAAAGGAGTCGCTGGCATCGGGAAATCAGTCTCTGTGCAAAAGTTTGTTCTGGATTGGGCTGAAGGAAAAGAAAATCAAGAGATCAGCTTCATATTTCCTCTTCCATTCAGAGAGATGAACTTACAGGAGAAAAAAAAACTCAGTTTGATGGAGCTTATAACTCAGTTTTTCCCAGAGACAAAAGGACTGAACCTTACAAGAAGGAATCGATTCAAAGTCCTGTTCATCCTTGATGGATTGGATGAATGTCGTCTTCCTCTGAACTTTGCTGGTAATGAGATGTGTTGTGATGTTTCGTCACCAGCCTCTCTGGATGTTCTCCTGACGAACCTCATCAAGGGAAATCTGCTTCCTTCTGCTCTCATCTGGATCACCAGCAGACCAGCAGCTGCCAGTAAGATTCCTCCTGACTGTATCGAGCGGCTGACAGAGATACGAGGATTCAATGATGCACAAAAGGAGGAGTACTTCAGAAAAAGACTGACAGATGAGAATCAGGCCAAAGAAATCATTGATCATGTTAAACAATCAAAGAGTCTCTTCATCATGTGCCACATCCCAGTCTTCTGCTGGATTTCAGCCACTGTTCTCCAGAACATTTTACAGGAGAAGAGAAATAATGATGTGAAACACAATCAGGCTGATCACACCTCCAAAACACTGCAGGAATCAAACACTGAAGACACTCCCAAGACTCTGACACAGCTGTACACACACTTTCTGCGCTTTCAGATCCAGCAGAGCAGACGAAAGTATGATGGAGAATACACACCAGATGTGTCCTGGGATAAAGACGCCATCCTTTCACTGGGAAAACTGGCATTTGATAATCTGCAAAGAAACAACCTGATCTTCTATGACACAGACCTGGAAGCCTGTGGTATTGACGTCTATAAGGCCTCAGTTTACTCAGGCATGTGTACCCAGATCTTTAAGAAGGAATCAGGGATTGTACTTGGTACCATGTACTGCTTTGTTCACTTGAGCATTCAAGAGTATTTTGCAGCCCTTTATGCACATCTGATTCTGGACATCAACAAGAAAAGTGTGTTTGATCAAGACTCTAAAAACAGAAATGAGTCCATGATTGATTTGCTGAAGACTGCAGTGGACAAGACACTTGAGAGTGACAATGGACACCTGGACCTTTTCCTTCGCTTCCTTCTCGGCTTGTCTCTCCAGTCCAATCGACGACTCTTACGAGGTCTGTTGACACAGCAAGAACACAATGACCAGAGCAAAGAGGAAATAGTTCAGTACATGAAGCAGAAGTTTGAAGCGAATCTTTCTCCAGAGAGATCCATCAATCTGTTCTACTGTCTGAATGAACTAAACGAACAAACTCTGGTGAAAGAGATTCAGACTCACCTTAGCAAAGGAAGTCTCTCATCTGCTGATCTTTCACCTGCCCAGTGGTCTGCTCTGGTATTTGTGTTGTTGACATCAGAGGAGGAGATGGAGGAGTTTGAGCTTCAGAAATTCAAGAAATCAGACGAGTGTCTCATCAGACTATCAGCAGTTGTCAAATCCAGCAGAAGAGCTCTGTAAGCAGTCAATATTAATAAAATTATGTTGTATTTGTGCCACCTAATTCTGTGGTTGTTTTATTTCTCTTGTAGGTTAAATGATTGTAAGTTAACAGACAGAAGCTGTTCAACTCTGGCTGCAGGTCTCATATCAGAAAACAGTCTGAAAGAGCTGAACATGAGCAATAATAATCTGCAGGATTCAGGAGTGAAGCAGCTCTGCACTGGACTGAAGAATATTAAGTGCGAGTTAGAAATCCTGAGGTACATTCTGTGATAATTGACATTTTGGTTTTAAACTTGAGCTCACATTAAACCGAAGATTTTAATATTCTTAAAATGCATTATGTACTGTTTTTATATGGCAGCATGCCATTTATATATAAGGGAAACGTGTCAATGTCCTCAAGGTTACACAGATGAATGAAGTCTCTGGCAACCATCACTGTTACTATGGTTATTGCTAATGTTTAAGGGAAGTGCATTTATTTTAAACTGATTAAAACTGATTGTATCTACCTAAATAATTAAATGATTTCATTTCTGCCAATTTAACAGACCATAGAATAAACAAAGTGTATTAATAGTTGTACGCTGTATTCTCATTGCTTCGTCTCTCGTCAGCTTTTCTTCTTGTTTTAATATGGTTCAGTTGTGAATTTCCATTGATGATGTGTAATTTTAGTCTCAGTAAGTCTGACCTGTCATCATTATTCATTTTATTAACTTTTATTTTTGATTATTAAAAAGTATTTATAATTTTCATCCAGACTTTCAAACTGTAGTATCAGTGGAGTAGGTTATAAAGCTCTGGCTTCAGCTCTGAGATCAAACCCTTCACACCTGATAGAGCTGGATCTCAGAGGAAATGATCCTGGACAATCAGGAGTGAAGGAGCTCACTAAGTTACTACAGGATCCACACTGTACACTGAAGACACTGAGGTGAGACTGAAGGAAGTAATAAAGTTATGTGTGGGTTATTAAACAGAATTTATTTTAGTTTTACACATAATTGTGATACATTAAATTGTTTAATTCATCAGAAGCTTGAATGGTCAGTTTGTGTTTGATAAAGAAGGGCAAGTTATTATCATTTTAACACATTAATTAACACCAATGGCTATTTTCACACGTTTGCAAAGTTTTATTATTTTAAAAGTTCATTGCTCGCTGTCTCTGAACATACACAGACATATTTTAGTTGTTAATAGTTGCTTTTATTCATATGCACTTATTCATATACAGTAGCTATGAACTTTTGAATTCATTGTTCAATTTTTGCATAAAAGAATTTGATTATTCACAGAAAAATATTTGATTAAAAGCTTTGAACTTTTTTCCAGCACCACTTTTGATGTTTCTGCTGTATTGATGATAAATTGTAAACAGTCAGTAGATGTGCTGGTGTTCTGCAGTATAAGATATAAATCTGACTCCTGCTTGATCCTCTCTTTCTTCAGGTTTTTGAGTCCTGCTGCTGATGAATTCTGTCAGTTTGTGACTGGAGTTGTGGGTAAAAACCCGTTACTCCTGAAAGAACTGAATCTGAGTGGTCGTAAACTAGGAGACACACAAGTGAATCAACTCTCTGCTCTACTGCAGGATAAACACTGTCAGATCAACACACTCGTGTGAGTATTGCATGTTTAACTAAACTTTTATTAGTAATCTTACTGTAGTGTATAATATTTGCTGACTTTGATTATTGTCAGTCACAACAAATTAAAATATTTTGTATCCTGACAGTTTAATCATTCCCTAAACAAACAAACAAAAAAAAAAGAACAGAAACTAAACAGATCTATTCATAACTTTGAAATTAATGTTTGCTTTTCAATATCCTCAAATGTCCTGATCAGTGCAGCACTGAAGTAAATGAACATTCTTTTCCAAAACTTGTCTCAATGTTTTCTGTTGGGAAAAATATCTGAGGCTTAGGCGTACTCACACTATGTACAGTTGCCTTGACCTGCGCCAAAGCACGCTTATCCCCTGTCCCGTCTCCTCCGACGGCCCGCACTCACATTACATTCAGGCCTGGGCACACTTACGTCATCGGAGATGCGCTGTTCAGTAAGTGCTCTCGCTCAGCACAGTGGAGATTTCTTTAGTTATATTGTTCAAGTCGTTAGATATGCAGTGACACGTAGTCAAATATTTTGCCGAACAGATCAGCCACTTTTGACGCTCATAAACAATCATAAAGTCCTCGTGCTGCAGAAATTAGGAGGTTTGCTGAAAGTGCACAGCTGTCGTGCAGTGAGCGGTTTGTGTCTTTAATAATCTACGACAGTTTGAGTTTATTGAACATTAAGAATGATTAATAAATCCATATGAAACAGTCCCTTTAAAGGCAAGTCTCGAGCTGCGTCCCAAATGGCACACTATACACTATGCACTCATGCACTATGTACTTATGCACTTACACACTCAACAGGATAGTATATGTATGTAGTGCTGTCCCAAATGGCACACTAATGTTTTTTTACTAAACGGAAATTCAAACCGTTTCCCTGATGACGTTTGACTGTTGCCAAATCAGTGAAATAAACGACTGAATTATCAAGTAATACCTGCCGTGAGTATTGTCGCATTTACCATCCGGAGGCGCTATAATCACTCTCGTAGGAGAATTTTGCTTTCACTATCCAAAATAAATAAAGTTATTCAACATGTGCGTCCGATCGCTCCGCCCCTTCCGCTACGTAAGCAAACCTGCGGTCGTTGAGTGCGTGAAGTGTCCATCATTACACACTTCATTTTAGCGGCTGAATGAGTGCATCATCCAGGTAATTAAAGTGCACTTATTATTTTGAGAGTTTTCAATGTGAACACACTACTTACACTATTTATACTACAAAATGGCGTAAAATAGTGCATAAGTATGCGATTTGGGACGCAGCTTCGGTTTTATTTTCGGGCCTAGGCGCGTTTTGCACTCACACACAAGCATACCACGCCAAAGCCCAAGTGAACCGTGCTTTGGCATACCTCTTCCAGCCGGGCCAGGGCCTGCCAAGTTAACCATGCCTGAGCCTGATTCAGAGCACTTACACTTCTCAAACGATCCGGGAAATGGGCCTAGGCACGGTTTGTATAGCATAGTGTGAGTACACCCTCAATGAGCAATATCACACAAGTGCTATATGGCTTTATTTCAGCACTGCTGGCCATAGGCATGAGGCTGCAGGTAATCACAGTAGTGCTGCTTCTCATGTGATATTGCATTCATAACAGAAATCCTGAAACATTTTCCTCTAAAACATCAAAGATGAGGGCGATGCAGTGGTGCAGTAGGTAGTGCTGTCGCCTCACAGCAAGAAGGTCGCTGGTTCGAACCTCGGCTCAGTTGGCGTTTTATGAGTGGAGTTTGCATGTTCTCCCTGCCTTCGCGTGGGTTTCCTCCGGGTGCTCCGGTTTCCCCCACAATCCAAAGACATGCAGGTGAATTGGGTAGGCTAAATTGTCCGTAGTGTATGAGTGTGTGTGTGTGTGAATGTGTGTGTGTGTGTGTGTGTGTGTGTGTGGATTTTTCCCAGAAATGGGTTGCGGCTGGAAGGGCATCCGCTGCATAAAAACTTGCTGGATGAGAAACAGATTTACAAAATGTTCAAGTTTATGGGAACTATAGACGATCATAGAAAGCACTAGCTTTTCAGTAAGATTATCATTACAGTCCTCAGTCATTGTTTTTTCTCTTTCTGTCTTCAGTCTGAGTCATTGCAGTATTACAGAGGAACATTGTGAGATCCTGACTTCAGCTCTGAAATCAAACCCATCACACCTGAGAGAACTGAACCTCAGTGGGAATCAAATAAAAGACACGGGAGTGAATCCTTTATGTGACGTACTGAAGGATTCACACTGTAAACTGGAGACACTGAGGTGAGCAACATTTACAAAACAGGAATCACAATCATTAAAATCTCTTCCTCAATTTAAATCAAGATTATTTATTCTCATTATCTTATGATGAATCAGAGTCGTGTATTTGTGTGATGCTTTTAACTTGGGATTTTATGATTTGATGAAAATAAAGGATCTCTTTTTCCTCTGCTGATGTGACTTTCTGCTGTCTTATATTCTGCTCTCTCTTTCTCTCTCTTTCTTCTTTGTTCTCTGACAGTGGAAGGTTGTTTTGTTGACTTAAATTTTGTTGTATTTGTGCCACCTAATTCTGTGGTTGTTTTATTTCTCTTGTAGGTTAAATGACTGTAAGTTAACAGACAGAAGCTGTTCAGCTCTGGCTGCAGTTCTCAGATCAGAAAACAGTCTGAAAGAGCTGAACATGAGCAATAACAATCTGCAGGATTCAGGAGTGAAGCTGCTCTGTGCTGGACTAAAGAATATTCAGTTCGAGTTAAAAATACTGAGGTACATTCTGTGATAATTGATACATTATAATATTAATCAGTTTTTGTAAGTTATTATCTTTTTTGTAAGTTTTGTAGTTTTTATTTACACATTTTGGATCAGTCACAGACAGACAGAGAGTGTAAGAGTGAAATTGTCTGTGCATGTTATGGCATTGGCATATCTAATAGCTCATAGTAGCATGTGTTATCTTCCTCTTTCCAAACTTTTTAAGCATATTTGTGAGCTGGTTTAACTGCATAAGCTCTTTAGTGCAGCATGTATCAGTGTCTTCGAAATTACACAGATGAATGAAGTCTCTGGCAACATCACTGAGTTACTGTGATTACTGCTAATGTTTGAGTGAAGTGCATTTATTTTGAACTGATCAAAACTGACTGAATCTACCTCTGCCTTAAATGATCTTATTGCACACATTCCAGCTATTTAGAATCAAGAGTTTTAACTTTGCATAGATTAAACTATTTGTTAATTGCTGTAAATACATTTATAGCTCTATTTATTAATGACCATAGTCAGTAATAGCTGTATTTATTAATGGATGTGTTTATTATTTTCTGTATTCTTGTTTCTTCACTCATCAGCTCTACATCTTCTTTCAGTATGGTTCAGTTGTGAATCTTTAGTGTTGATGTGTATTTTCAGGCTCAGGAAGTGTGATCTAGCATCATTTTTAATTTGATTAAACTTCACTTAATAATAGCTCCTTTCCTCTAGTCTTTCAGACTGCAGTATCAGTGAAGAAGGTTATAAAGCTCTGGCTTCAGCTCTGAGATCAAACCCTTCACACCTGATAGAGCTGGATCTCAGAGGAAATGATCCTGGACAATCCGGAGTGAAGGAGCTCACTGAGATATTGCATGATCCACACTGTACACTAAAGACACTGAGGTGAGAGAGAGGGAAATAATAAAGTTATGTGTGGGAGATCAAAACAGAATTTTATTTTATTTTTACAGAATCTTGTGTTAAAATAAATGTTTTAACACAGCAGAGGTTTAAATGATCAGTTTGTGTTTTGATTAGGACTGGACATGTTATTTGTTAACTTATTAATTAAAGCAGACAATTATTTTATCACCTTTTAATTAGGTTTTATTTTTTTCTCAATTATAACATCTTAAAAGTTCATTGCTCGCTGTCTCTGCACACGCAGCCAAATGTTTTGTTAAGTTGATTTTAGTGCACTTCTATTCATATTCCAAGAACCTTTAGATTTAATGCGCTACTTTTTAATTCATTGTTAAATTTTGCATATAAAAATTCAATTTAACAGAAAAGTCATGTGATTTAATCATGATTAACAGTTTAAATCATTGTCCAGCACTAGTTTTGATGTTTCTGCTGTATTGATGATAAATTATAAACACAGTCAGTAGATGTGCTGGTGTTCTGCTGTATAATATATAGATCTCACTACTGTTTGATCCTCTGTTTTCAGGTTTTTGAGTCCTGCTGCTGATGAATTCTGTCAGTTTGTGACTGGAATTGTGGGTAAAAACCCATTACTCCTGAAAGTACTGAATCTTAGTGATCATGAACTAGGAGACAAACGAGTGAATCAACTCTCTGCTCTACTGCAGGATAAACACTGTCAGATCAACACACTCAGGTGAGTATTGCACATTAAACTAAACTTTTAATAGTGGTCTAGTGCAGTGGTTCCCAACCTTTTTTTGCCTGAGACCCCCTTTTTCCCCTGAAAATATTGTAAGGCCCCCCTCCACATTTAATGATATAATCGCTCGTATGAGTTTCAGAAATGATGTCAAAAAAGTTGTTTTTAAACAAATGTTATGTTTATTACTTTATCTAGATATGTTTATGCACAAATAATAGCCTAAAGTTTCCCAGAGATGGGTTGCAGCTGGAAGGGCATCCGCTGCGTAAAACATGTGCTGGATAAGTTGGCGGTTCATTCCGCTGTGGTGACCCCGGATTGTTAAAGGGACTAAGGTGAAAAGAGAATGAATGAATGAATAATAGCCTAATGTAAAATATAAAAGCAAAACATCAGTAGGCCATTTGGAACTGAAAAGCGTAAGCCTTTGGCCTTTAAATTGACCCTATTTGAAATTCAATAACAAAAATATCAATATTCACAATTATGTATAAGGGAAAAAATAATATAGGCTATTACAATTTAATACTTGCACCTTATTTGTTATGCTCTATCATTTAGTGTGAGGATTGCTGCGAGGCGAATCAGTGAGACTTTTTTTGTGGAGGACAGATTACACATTTGTCCATTTTTGGTCAGCTAAGTTAGGACAGTGTTCCTCAACCTGTTTATCACCATGCACCGGTCAACACTTGACAATTTTACTGTGGGGGGTTGGGGGTGTTTCGTAGGTTGCTATGCGACCATCGACCGTTTTCTCAGAGGATGACAAACTGACAAAACATTGCTGTCGCTCTCTGATACAAGTTTTATTTATGGAGAAAAGTACAAAGGACTGCAGTGTTGGTCTGTTGTGTGGTTGTCTGAGAAATTTAGTCGTACCGAAATGTGAATATTCCATACAAGCAGAAGCTGATCGGTTGATTCTCGTCACGTGACTTGCGGTGCACTTGCGGCTCATTGGTGCGAGCGCTTGCTTGTGCACGAAGGCCGCACACTTCCATTGGAAACAACAAAATTGTGCAAACTCTAGAAATACATAGATACACACACTAGATATCGCATAGGCAGGGCCAGATGGAATCTGCGGACGTTTTTTGCTATTTCTGCAGAGAATTTTGGTAAAAATCTGTGAATTTCTGCAGAATTATTTTGGGAGTATCCAGCGGCGTATCATAACTAAAACTTTAATATATTAAATAAAAAGTAATAAATTACTGAATAAAAACTGAATAAATTCAGATTTACACATCTACTCAAGTAAATAAACTGAATTAATATTGGGCTAAAAATCTGCAGAAATCTGCAAAATTCTGCTGAAAATCTGCGAAATTCTGCGCGCAGATTCCGTGTGGGCCTACACATAGGGGCCCTAAGCATGTGTCAATAGCACCACCACATTTGTACAGTGCTCCCAGGACAAAAATCATTCAACCGCACTAGTCAAGACAGTGTTACTATGTGAAGATGCTGGACTTTAGCGCTGTCTACGGGTGTTGTTACGAGGAAACAAAGAAAACGAAGCACAAAGGCGGAACATTTCATAGGTGAGATTTGGTTTTTTAAGGTTTTGTATGTTCTGAACTTTTGTGCTAAACGGGTATCGTTATTGATGATAAAACATTCTCTTACTGCATTCACCATAAGGCAGTTGTAGCACCAACTCACACTAAACACTCGGTCAATGCTAGTTTTGTTGAATAAAATCAGCAAACAATGCAAAAGAAATATGACAACGAGATGCTGCAGTGCCAGACACTTTTATTATTGTCAGCTAGTGAATGAGTCGTTCATAACAGAGATTCATTTACAAACGAATCGCTTCCTCCGTCAGTATGAGAAGTGAAAGCAGGAGAGGAGGTGTGTTTCAGGACACGGATTAGATCAAATGTAACAGGGAGGGTAAATAGTACAATAGTTCTATACACACAAACGCAAGCTTTTTGTCTGTGCGATCACTGATCCATCAATGTAGAAAAGTGATATAAAATTATAATTTTCGGAATTTAAAAAAAAAAAATTGCACACTGCGTATATCTCTGGCTTTGGATGGCCACAGTCCTCCACTGCAGCTTGATCCCACATTAATTTCAAAGGAGCGCTACGCTGTACCCAAATGGTGGCTCTATTGACTCATTCCTTCCAATAGACAACAACAGGGTAGGCGACATCTAATGTATATATCTATACAAGAAAACGACCCCTAAAAGGCCGCCGTCATTTGCAATCTCCATCACTTGATCTTCTTGCACAGCCATGGTGGATTCACCTGATTTGTTGACAGGTGGGTTGCGGTTCCATTCCTTGGCATTTCATGGGTCCTTCACTGGGCCTTTTTCCCTTGGCCAAGAAACTTTCTAAAGATGTCTGTTTCTTACTCATTTTGCTGCTAGTGAGTTAAATTTGGGCGCTCAAGTCACAGAGACGAGTGAGAGAATACAGTCACTTTTCAAAATAAAAGATTTTTCAAAATAAAGCCGCGCTGACCGGTGGTTGAGGACCACTGAGCTAGGGGATAAAATGAACCAAGGCAACATGATCATTCTCCGAATTGTCCACTGCTAAGATTTTTTTTTTTAAAACGACCCCCCTGTTGGGAACCGCTGATTTAGTGGATAATATTTCAGTGTCAATCACAACAAATTAAAACATTTATTATTCTGAAAGTTCATCATTTCCTGGAAGAAATAGGCAAGAAAACACTCTAAATGACAACAGATCATTTACAAATCTGGAAAAAATGTGCCACATTTTTTATGGTCGTATGTTTGTTTGTAAAAGGTTTTGTTGTTGTTTGTGAGAGCAGAAATATGCAAAGCATTTATTTTAATGTATGTTTTTCATGAAATATAACAAATATTTATTTTTAGCACAGCATGTAAAATGTAAACTGTGATAGTATCATCCTCAAATGTCCTGATCTGTGCTGATCTGTAAATGAAAATCCTTTTCACAAAACTTGTCTGAATGTTTTCTGCTAAAGGAAACACTTAAGAAAAACATTGAATTATTTGTCCTTCAGTGTGATTAAACACTGATCTAAAACTTAACGAACAATATTATACAAGTATAGTGCTGTGTGGCTTTTTAAATTTGGCCATAGGTATGGTGCATGTATGTGCATCTTTGTTGAACTCAATGTTTGTCAGTACAGATCACATTTATCATTACAGACCTCAGACATTGTCTTTTCTCTTTCTGTCTTCAGTCTGTGGGATTGCATTATTACAGAGGAACAGTGTGAGATCCTGACTTCAGCTCTGAAATCAAACCCATCACACCTGAGAGAACTGGACCTCTGCTGGAATAATCTAGGAGACTCTGCAGTGAAAAACCTCAGTGATTTACTGATGAAGCCTCAATTCAAGCTGGAGAAACTAAAGTTAGTGTCATTATACTGTACAGCATATACTGAGAGATTAAAGATTATTTATTCTCAGACAACATAAATCGAATGAAAGCATTTATAAACTACACATTCTTCCTGTTTATTTGTGTATGTTTTCATTATTTGCAATAATAAAATCAGAAGTATTTTATTTTTATGTTGGAGTGTAGCTGGCAAGTAATGTGTTTAAAAAAACTTACAAAACAGGAAACTCTAGACTTGGATTATAGCTTATGTACTCAAATCCTGCTCTCTTGGTTGGCTCTATTTTATTATGTTTTCATGGTTTTGCTGCTCTCTTAGTGAATATACCATTAACAGTTTTGTATTTTACTCACACATTAACTTAATGTAGTTTTATGTCATTGTCTTTACTCTTTCTGTCTTCAGTCTGAGTTATTACAGTATTACAGAGGAACAGTGTGTGATCCTGACTTCAGCTCTGAAATCAAACCCATCACACCTGAGAGAACTGAACCTCAGTGGGAATAATCTAGGAGACTCTGGAGTGAAAAGCCTCAGTGATTTACTGATGAAGCCACAATTCAAGCTGGAGAAACTACAGTTAGTATCATTATACTGTACAGCAGAAACAGAGAGATTAAAGATGATTTATTCTCAGACAACATAAATCAAAGCATTTATAAACTACACATTCTTCCTGTTTATTTGTGTATGTTTTCATTATTTGCAATCATAAAATCAGAAGTATTTTACTTTTATATTGGAGTGTGGCTGGCAAGTAATGTGTTTTACTTAAAAAAAAAAAAAAAAAGAACTTACAAAACAGGAAACTCTAGACTTGGATTATAGTTTATGTCCTCAAATCCTGCTCTCTTGGTTTGCTCTTTTTTATTATGTTTTCATGATTTTGCTGCTCTATTAGTGAATATAGCTTTAACAGTTTTGTATTTTAATCGCACAAGAACCTAATGTAGTTTTATGTCATTGTCTTTCCTCTTTCTGTCTTCAGTCTGTATAATTGCAGTTTTACAGAGGAACAGTGTAAGATCCTGACTTCAGCTCTGAACTCAAACCCATCACACCTGAGAGAACTGGACCTCAGTAAGAATCAAATAAGAAACACAGGAGTGAATCTCTTATGTGACGTACTGAAGGATTCACACTGTAAACTGGAGACACTGGGGTGAGCAACATTTACAATACAAGAATCACAATCATTAAAATCTCTTCCTCAGTTTAAATCAAGATTATTTATTCTCATTTTCTTATGATGAATCAGAGTCACTATGTATTTGTGTGGTGCTTTTAACTTGGGATTTTATGATTTGATGAAAATAAATGATCTCTTTTCCTCTGCTGATGTCACTTTCTGCTGTCTTATATTCTGCTCTCTCTTTCTCTCTCTTTCTTCGTTGTTCTCTGACAGATGAAGGTTGTTCTGCTGTGACTTTAAATAAAATTTTGTTGTATTTGTGCCACTTAATTCTGTGGTTGTTTTATTTCTCTTGTAGGTTAAATGACTGCACAATTAAACAGTTTAAATCAAAACACTTCATATTTTCTCTTTTATATCTCACAGTGAATTTCAGCTTTTATAATATTTTTACAAATTTCTTCATTTTTCTGATGATCCTGAATCAGATGAGTGTTTAGTGCTGATGTTGCCTTTATATGCATTCAGAAGAGTGTATACCAGATAATAATTGTGTAAAATTCGTCAGATGCATGCTAATTTCACTGTTTATGCTAAATAAAACTATATGTGAATATGTGCTTTAGCAATGAAGAAACCCAAATAATAATAATAATAATAATAATAATAAAAATAATAATAATAATAATAATAATGATAATAATAAATAACAACCACAACAGCAATTGATCTTTCCTCATTGTTTATGGCTGTCAAACTCAGAAACCAACATATAAAATAAACTGATCTTAGCAGTAAATAATAGTAGCAGCAGCAACATATAACACTAGTACTGGTTTGAGAGATCACTGATGTCCAATTTCTGACTAGAATTAGCAATTTCTACATGTAATTGAAAACATGTGGAGCAGCATGAGCTCTGCAAGACTGAGACTCTCCACAAATGACTTTCACTTGTTAAACCTGTGATGAAATAAAAAAATTATTTCTTCAGTTTTTTTTTTTTTTTGTCTTTTTCTAGACTGTGTGACTGTGGCATCTCAGATATTTCATCTTTAACTCAGTGTTTGATGAATACAAAAGCTCTGCGGTTTCTAAAAGAGCTTGATCTGAGATTCAATCACATTGGAGACTCAAAGCAGAAGCTCATTGATGTGATGCGAGACTCAAACTGTAAACTGATGTAAGTAAACAACACTGATATTAAAGATCTTCATTTTCCTCTGAGATGTGAAATCTTTCAGATGTGTCTGAGAGGAAATGATCAAATGATCATCAAGCTTTATTTGATGAGCACAGAGTGTGCAGTGTCTGCAATAGATGAAGAGAAAGGAGGAAAGAGCAGAAGAGCTGCGAGTCAGAGCTTTATCCAGCAACAGCTGCTTTATTAAAATAACATTAATCACAGAAAGTGTTCAGACATCAGCTTGTGTTTCTCAGCACTCACAGGCTTAAACACATGAACACCATTACTGCTTTAAATGTATTCGATTTAAAACACAATTGGTGTTTTAGAAATACAGTATCTGTGCAGGAGAATATTAAGTTAATAATTGTTCTGATTACAGGAATTTATTATGAATTTGTTTACCAAAAAAGCAGTAATTGAGATGTAGTAGAAATGAATCTGTACTGTTTCACTGAACATTGACTGTTTTCTCTTCTGGTTTCACCTTCAGAATAAAGCGTCAGCGGCCTGATGACTCGAGATGCTGTATATCATAGTCAGCTTTGAAGATGAGAGGATCAGTGAACATCAGTTGAGGATCCACAGAAGAGTCTCAATACTGTGGTAAAATGTAGGATTAGAATGTGATGATAAATGTTAAATCAGGTGAAGAGACTCAGAATGACAAGCAAATAATACAGTGTGTGTTAGAAACATGATATTGAATCTATTTTCATTACACAATTTTTAATTATTAATATACATTTTTAAGTACAATACTTAAATGTTTCAAAAGTAGAACAACGATAAAATTCCAAAAGTAGGTGTTCTTAAATTTCATTTTTAGCATATCTTTATTACTGTATTATATTTTATATTCTGCTTGCTATATGTGTCTGTTTCTGATGCACAAATGTTCAGCATATTGTGTTTGTTCTGTTGGAAAAAAGGGATATTTGTTTTCTTTTTTTTTCTTTTCATTAAACAATTGTATTTGTATTGCTTAAGGTGAAACATTAACCAAACTTGTTCTCTTGAGTGTGATATGCCTTGCATACAAATGAAGCTGATATTAATGCAAAAGCCTGATTGTCCAAAATTAACTTAATCTCTGCAGCTTAACTTCTTGTGAGAGATGTGTTGAAACTAAACACAGAATTTGTGCAGTTAAGAAATTTTATGCTTTTAACGTTGTGCAGAGAATTTGTAAAAAAAAAAAAAAGGATACGTGTACGGGTGCGGCCAATGGAGGACTGGAGAATGATTGACAAGTGACGAATCCCACTAAACTCCACCTGTTAATATCAGCTGCCTATAAAAGCGGGAGTCAGGAAATTAAAAATTGTTGCGTACCTGCTAAGTGTAATTTTTGCATTGCATTGAGGATACCAGAATTCTGTGAATATGTGAAGGCAGTCCAGAATCGTAATCAGTAACAGGCGAAAAGTCAAAAGGCAGGCGGCAGACAAAGACAAGGATGCTAACAAGGCTAAGGTCGGTACACAGGATAACAAGACTAGGAAACTTGTTGTAGTGCTACTTACAGTAAAAAAGACTCTGCAAACTGAATGGGTGAGTGTGAGCTTAAATAGTGTGTGCAATCAGTCTCTGACAATTCTCAGGTGGTGTGAGTAATCAGTCTAGAGGAAGCATGTGTGAGTGTAACCGGAGTGCATGTATGAATATGTAGTCCATCAAAGGCAGAAGTGTAGTCCATGGTTATTGTGAGTGAGAACCAGCTATCTTTACACATTTATTCATACGTTTGCATTACTGAGAGCAGGAGAGAGACAGGCTGCACTGGTGAGCAGTATCTTCATAATATTGTTTATTAAAATAAATAATTAACAAATTAATCTGTCTCGACAGCCTTTACAAGTGAAGGAATTATCTACACACAATCTGAATTCCCAATTAGAATAATACTACAAACTATATTATACTATTCATGAAAATACCAAAAATCACAAACAAATCCAAATCCCTAACGCAAGCAGACCAGACCAGTTCAGCTCGATGACGTATAATGTCCCCGACACCACCTGTAGTCCCATTTAGCAACTTGGTAGCAACCGTCTTTTTAAAGAAGCATAACCGATTTTAAAAATTCAAGAGTGTGCTGTAACTGATGTGTTTTATGTCGTAGAACAAAACGTGAAAGTATCTTGAGTTTTTGTTTGCCACGAACCTTATTTAAGCGATTTTACTGAAACCCCATTGAAAAAACCCATTGACTTTGGGACAAGGGAACCGGAACTGCTAAAATGCTAACTCGCTTCCGGGATTTTGCATACAAATTGACATCATAGCTCCTCCAGTCTATTTGCTGGGTAACATTGCCTGACTGAATGTTTATTGCACGCAGCGTTGCATTTGGTAGCACAATAACTCGCTCTAATCCGGAAGAGAACTTTCCCAAAAGCAATACATGCACTGCTGAAAGATTTTATTTTTCCTGCTGCGCATCAAATAAAGACACGCTTAACATCATCGATGTCCGCAGTGCATTCTATATCCATGAAACTCGATCGTATCTGGATGCAGCCTTTATGGTGCAAGCAGAGATTGCATCACTCAGCAATGCAATGTCAGACACAATGCATTGCACTCAATGGAGCGAGTGACATCATGGTAACATGTAGGGTTAGGGGTGGGGTTAGGTGAGCGCATTAAAAGCATTGGATGCAACTTAGATTGCACTGCACCAGGTCTGCATTTTACGGAATCCCGGAAGGGACGTAGTGGAGGAGAAAAAAATTGGCTGGGTGAAAAAAAATAAAATAATGGGTGAAAGAAAAAAATGGGTGGGAGGAAAATAAATATTTCTAAGTTTTTGCGTTCTTTCGCAAAGTTTTGCGTTCCCTCGCAAAGATGTTTTGCGTTCTCTCGCAAAACTGTTTCTCCACAAACACTTCCTGTTCACTTCACTCACGTAAACCCTCCCGTTTTTGCCTAAGTTCTCCCATATTTTACCATTCTATCCCACTTTCTTAGTTACTTAGTATTCACTTTCAAGATAATGCAAAACTTCGCGAGGGAACGCAAAAACTTTGAAATATATATTATATATATGTGTATATATATATGTGTGTAAATATATATATATATATATATATATATATATATATATATATATATATATATATATATATATATTTATCTTGCTGATAGCTGTTCTTATCGTCTAGCAAAAGGATAATGGATGTATGAGAAGGGCATAAATTATTAACAAATGATACACAATATTTCAGAAGACCCAGCTGGGGAGGTGTATTGGACAGTTTTCAAAAGTTAGCGAACAGCGAAACATAGCGAAACTTATACATTTACAAAAATGGAAATGCAGCCTAAATGCGATCATTCATTCATTCATTTATTTTGATTTCGGCTTATTACCTTATTTAATTTGGGGTCGCCACAGCAAAATGAACCGCCAACTTATCCAGCATATGTTTTACGCAGCGAATGCTCTTTCAGCTGCAACCCATCACTGGGAAACATCCATACACATTCATTCGCACACACACACACACACACACACACACACACACACTATGGATAATTTAGTTTACCCAATTCACCTATAGCGCATGTCTTTGGACTTGTGGGGGAATCTTGCTACTCACTGCACCACCGCATCGCCCTAAATGCGTGTGATGAAAATGTTTTTGGGCATTACTTGCTGAAGTGCCTGAAAATTCATACAAAAGAGACCATTTTGAGGGATGTAAACAAAAACAATGCTCCCAGTGTGTTTCCTGTTTTACATTTTTAATTTCTACAGCTTCTGAGAATCCAAAAAGAGTCACATATTGATAAAAAAATGTTATGTTAGCTGTTTTGATATTAAGTTATGACTGAATTGCCTTGTTACATGAAGCAGTTTGATAACAAGCAGGAAATGTTCATGGCCCAATGACATGACTACTTTAAAATGGTCTATAAAAGCTTATTTGTGTGGGGTGTCTGTAATGGCTGGATAATCAAAAATGACACCAGTAAAAAAAAAGCAATGTGAACTTTTATTAGGGTTTGTCTTGCGTAAGAAAGAGGTGTTGCATAATCCATTTTGATCAACAGGAAATTGATTTGTTTTCCCCTTGTAAAGCCATTCGTAGTCAGTGAAGTAAACTCCTAATAAACAACTTTTGGCCAAATCCATTTTATTGTCCTGTTGGTCAGAATGGATTATGTGACGGGTTGTGTTCTGAGGCCCAAATAAAAAATGTTGAACACAAAATTTGTTGGCATTTGCAATTAAAGTAAATTTAAATTAATTATAAATGTGTGCTTGTTTGTTCATAATTTTCATTTGATATGTGTTTGAACCTTAACAATTTAGTATGATAATTATTTTTAATTCGTTCTTCAGTTTTGTCTAAGCTGTTTTTACCATATTGTATTTTTATTTCATGCCAACTCAGTCTACTTGTAAGTGAATGCTTGTATATTTTTGTTTCATTTAATCAATGGATCCACAAAAAAGTTGATCAATGTTTGGCCAATACACTCACAAAAGCATTAAAGAACCGACATAAAACAAGTAAAGGTCAAGGAAATTTTTTAATTGTTTAATTTTTTACAATGTGGTGAGGAGAGTGGTATACTGTAAAAATGCTGGGTTCCACACAAGTCCTTCATGTTGTCCCAGCACAAATCAATCAAGTAAACCTTAACTGTTTTTGCAAATTTAAGTGGATTGAAAATTAAACAATTAAGTTGTCTAAAGAGAATCAAGAATTGTGTTGATCATTTTAAATAAATAGTTTTTTAAATAGAGAATTTATGAATATAGCCTATGTATTTATCACAAATTATAATATATAAAATATTTTTCTGTGATGGTTTCAGAAAGTGTGGACTATATTATTTTGGTATGGGACCACAAAAGGCTACAAACCACATGTATCTTTCTCTTCAAGGCGTTCAAGACTGCATGAAAACATGTTAAATGACTTGCTACCAACTCAAATATTGACATTAGGGGTTGCATTTTTGTTATTGTCGTAAAATTAAGCAGTCATTGATTTTTTTTTTTTTTTCTAAACTTGATGCGTTTACAAAGACAAATTGTGGTTGTTGCCCACTTTCCTCTTGGTATTATTTTTTTTTCCCCACTTTTTTGCCATTTGAATAGACAATTCATAGAAAATTGAGCTTGTGATCCCTTCTGAATTCCATATGTTTGCAGCTTGGATGCTTGGCTTTCTATGAGGTCGGTACAAATACTTATAAGGTAGTCTTTTTTTTTATTTATTTTTTTTTTTTTTTAGTTCAAAACAAAGACTTTTATATGAATCACTCTTTTGCCATCTAACGGTAAAACATAAATATGCAGTTATTAAAACTAGATTTTTCAACCGGTCCTTTTAAGACATTTTGGAAAAAATAAAAATTAAATGTTTGTTATGTGTTATAATGTTATAATGTTGTTGTAATGTTTGATATATATATATATATATATATATATATATATATATATTTATATATAAAAACAAGCTTTTAGTTTTTAGTAGTTTTTAGTTTCACGAAGTACTTGGGCTTTACACTAATATAGTGCCTTAATGAACTGTTTGTATGAGTCTAAACGAAACCGAAAGTATTGTAGGCAAACAATAGAACGGTCTTGAAAATGACTGCATGATTGCATATTATAAATTTCTAGCAAAAATAGTGCTTGATCAAAAAAAAATCTAAATATAAGGTACACACCTTAAAGGACGATCACGCCGCCTTGAAGTGAAAACGAAAGTGACTGGTTCGCAATCGCAAAAATCGGGGGGAAGGGGGTTGTACGGACGCGACGGCTCTGGGTACACATTCATTGAGTTTTATTACAATATGAAATAAGAAAGTCATCGATCAGCTTAATCATGAACAAATCTGCCATAAAAAGATTGCGCTAAACCTTACAGGATGGATCTTATCAGGTGACCGGATACCTAACGGAAAAAAACAAGTGGTGCTCGCTGCAGAGCGATTTGAGGAGAGCTGAGCTCCAGCGAGGGGGAGCATGAGCTGTCGCTCCTCCTCCTGTAAGCTGTTTTAATGCGTACAACAACCCCACCCCTAACCCTACCCCCAGTGACATCACTCGTAGAAGAAGTGCAAAAAAGGTGGAGCTCAAGCTTAAGCTCCCCCTTGCTGGAGCTCAGCTCTCCTCAAATGGCTCTGCAGCGAGCACCCTCAAAAAAAAAAAAACTGTTCTACACCTCTGTTGTTTCAGACCTTCGTACTGTTGTAAGTATTTTTATTTATTTTATTTTAAAACGAAATACAGTTTCATGGGAGTTTTTTCAGGAATGTATTTCAGTTCATAACGATGATGTTTTTCTCTTATATTAGGGTATTGTTTAATAGATGATGTGAAATCGAAAGCATGTTGGAAATCAGACCACTTTAGGCGGGCATGTAAGCACGCACATGGCGAATGATGTTTACTATCTTGATTATCAAAAAGTGTAATTAGCCTACATAGAATAACCTCAATTCATTTAATTTACAGTTATTGTGGAAGCATTTGAAATAAACACAATGAATTGTGAGCATGACGTAGTTAGCATTTTATTTAAATGTGTCGTTTAAACGCCGCAGTAGTAACGTTATAGTAAAAGAAAATACAAGACTAACTTAAAAAACGCTTGAAGACAAATCGTTTGACGCGATGAATGCTAAACCGGTCATGCTAAATATGCATTTCATTGTTTTCTTCTAAAGATGTCTGTTTGTAACAAGTGAAAGCGAAAGTATAGTGTGGCCTAATCACTCCTTTTGATTGGTGCTGTTAATAAAGTAGTATCAAATCGCAATTACGTTTTCTTTTCATTGTTTAGCAAAGTATTTTTCAACTGCTAATAAGCATTGTGTAATACTGCCACATTTTTCCTAAACTGTTTTCACTGTGTTCATTATACATGACTCAGACTGAACCGTGTTTAAGCTGCCTAAAGTAACGTTGTCTAAATATTTAAATTGTTATGATCATGTGATAAGTGTGTTATGATCGTGTTTGTGAAAATGATGTTGTGATCGTGTTGTGATGATGTTATAACTGTGTTGTTGTGATCGAGCGCAGGCGGAAGTTCGTCATTAGACATTATTGGGTAAGCCAGTTCTTGAGTCGTTGATGCGCTGATTATGATGATTATTAGGTCTGTTTTAATGTTACAAATGTCGCTGTTGAAGAAACAGCGTGTAATAATAACAACACATAACTTTTCTTTAATGTTTTAAATAAGCACATCTTTATGTCTGCATATTAGACTGTAATTAGTATTTACATGCTTACTAAAATAATTGTGTTTGTTTTGATCTTCATTTCAGAGACACGTTATCATGATCAGTTCATGATCATCATCTGATTGTCTCCGGCTACACAAAGACTGTTGAACTTGAGCTGATGATGTTCAGTATGTCATATAAGTAAGGGAAAAGACTGCCATGAAGATGAGTCTCTCAGAGAAACACAGGTGAGACTGGCTGTTCACAGAACCATCTTAAACTGAAGTCTTGAATTCAAAACCAGAATCTTCCTGTTAAAGATCAAAACCTTTAATCAGTGCCATATCAATACTTTACAAAACAAAATGTATTATAATTATTTTATTTTGTTCAAGATTAAAAGGGGCTTAAATCTGCTTAATGTAGGTATAGAACTAAAGAATATTGTATTATGGTTTCCTGAAGGACATTTAGTGGTTAGTGAATGTAAATAATTAGCAAATGTTACACACACAAACACATAGGCATTAATAATTTTACTATTCTGCCCAAGCCAGAGTATTCATGGTAAACTAAAGTATTTTTGTGACTTCAGTGTAAGATTAGGTTCACTTGTGTTCAGTTCTGTGAAATTTAAATGGTGGCATGACAAACTTTAGTGAAATAAAAAATAGCCAAAAGATATTTCACTTATTAAAACATTGCGTTTCCACCCAAACAGTGTAAAGTGTAATGTTTGTTAGAACCTGGTTAGTTAATACTACACTGAAGAAATCAACACATTTTCTGGCAACTTTTATTGAACTTGGTCTTGATCTTTATTTCAGTGATAAAAAATACACGAGGCATACATTCACCATGAAAATGGATCATGCTTTGAAATTTGCAAATGTTCTTTCATAGTCATGAGAGGGACAAATGCTTAAATTTAATTACTGTTATCTAAAATAACTGATGTTAATTAGGCTGAAGATCCTGTAGTAAAATTTCTGTTTTCCTCTGTTATTTGTGTCTTCAGTGTAAGATCAGGCTCACATGTGTCCAGCTCTGTGTCTGTAAAGAGTGACCGGTCAAAAGGTCACATGCCGGACTTCAGTGAGACAAAAACCTCACCAAATAAAAGGTATATTATACATTTCTACAGTTTGGTCACACACTCACTGTTACATAATCTTCTGCAATTACTTAATATAAGACTGCAAATCAGTATTTTATTTATTTGCTTACAGGTTTCAATATAAGACATTAGAATTTGACTTCCAACCTCAAAGGAGCTGCAATAATTTCAAAGACCTCCAGTGCATCTTCCAGGTAAGAAATGTACATATGTTCTTGCATTTATAATAAAAACAACATATAATTAATATTTATAATAAACACAGTAGTTTGTTTACTAATTAAATTGTCAAAACTAAATTATAATTACAACTAAAGTATGAATGATATTATAAAATTATTTGGAAACACTTTTGAACATTTTGATCGTCCACATTATAAGGCAGCGAGTTTATGCTTATGCAATCATGTAATCTTACACCTGCTACTCCTCACATTTTTGACACTGCGCTCTGTGCATGTCACAATGGCTCTCTCACAGATGTACGAGACTCTTTTGTTGTCACAAGAACACGTATGTACAAAATAACACTTACAACTGGATCTTGAAACACAGGCAGAACATGGAGGAGTGGCAATTCAATACTGGACGAGGAACAAAAAACACAGCACATGAGGAAACACATGACATTAACACATGATGACAACATCTAAAACAAGACACAACACAAAAACACCTGACATGTAACAGTGCACCTGCAGTTGAAAAAGAGTCAGCTACGTATGATATAGTGGTTGCCTAGCAACATAAAGGAACAGTGCAGTGCTCTTTTCTAAATTCAAAAGACTGCAGTGCACAATCATATCCTGTCTTCAGCCTTAAACTTATTCAGCATGTCAGCTGACTCCCATTACAATATTAGAGTAGTAGCAATGTTAGATTAGGATTAGCAGAATTATTGGAATGGCAAGATTACTTATCATCAAAAAAATGTCTTGTCTGGTCCAATAAAACAATAAGTTAAACCATATTTTATATATAAGCAGACGATTCCAATTTTTATTTTATTTTTGGAAATAAACTTCTTAAACTGAGTTTTTTAATTATTGAATATATTGTTCTTAATCAATATGGATGTGCATTGTGGCTTAAAGGGATAGTTCACACAAAAATGGAAACACACTCACTATTTACTTGAACTGTCTCTTTAATATTTCTGTCTTGTTATTTTGCTTGTAGGGGCTTGAGAGCAAACTGTTCAACTTTCTGAAGAAAGAGTTGGAAAATTTTAAGAAAATCTTACAAAAAGAAAACACACAATACCTTGTAAAGGACTTTAATGAAAACAGATGCAGTATCAGAGAAGCAATACTTGATCTCACACTCTACTTCCTGAGAGAAATGAAGCAAGATGAAGCTGCTGATACTCTAGAAGGTGAGAGACTGACTGTCGTAATGTCAATTATAGAATATTAAAGAAAGTAATGACAATTAATGGTATTCCTCTGTGTGTAGATGAGCTGATCTTCATTCATCAGCTAAAATGTGGCCTACAGAAGAAGTATCAGTGTGTGTTTGAAGGAATTGCACAGCAAGGAGACTCCACACTCCTGAAGAACATTTACACAGATCTCTATATCACTCAGGGTGGCAGTGAACAGGTCAATACTGAACATGAGGTCAGACAGATTGAAGTTGCTTCCAGACGTCATGAAGCTCAAGAGATACAGGTTGAATGCAGACATTTGTTTGAAGCATCTGAACAAGACAAGCAGATCAGAACTGTACTGACAAAAGGAGTCGCTGGCATCGGGAAATCAGTCTCTGTGCAAAAGTTTGTTCTGGATTGGGCTGAAGGAAAAAAAAATCGAGAGATCAGCTTCATATTTCCTCTTCCATTCAGAGAGATGAACTTAAAGGAGAAAGAAACACTCAGTTTGATGGACCTTATAACTCAGTTTTTCCCAGAGACAAAAGGACTGAACCTTACAAGAAGGAATCGATTCAAAGTCCTGTTCATCCTTGATGGATTGGATGAATGTCGTCTTCCTCTGAACTTTGCTGGTAATGAGACGTGTTGTGACGTTTCATCACCAGCCTCTCTGGATGTTCTCCTGACGAACCTCATCAAGGGAAATCTGCTTCCTTCTGCTCTCATCTGGATCACCAGCAGACCAGCAGCTGCCAGTAAGATTCCTCCTGACTGTATCGAGCGGCTGACAGAGATACGAGGATTCAATGATGCACAAAAGGAGGAGTACTTCAGAAAAAGACTCACAGATGAGAATCAGGCCAAAGAAATCATTGATCATGTTAAACAATCAAAGAGTCTCTTCATCATGTGCCACATCCCAGTCTTCTGCTGGATTTCAGCCACTGTTCTCCAGAACATTTTACAGGAGAAGAGAAATAATGGTGTGAAAAACAATCAGGCTGATGACGCCTCCAAAACACTGCAGAAATCAAACACTGAAGACACTCCCAAGACTCTGACACAGATGTACACACACTTTCTGCGCTTTCAGATCCAGCAGAGCAGACGAAAGTATGATGGAGAAAACACACCAGATGTTTCCTGGGATAAAGATGCCATCCTTTCACTGGGGAAACTGGCATTTCATCAGCTGCTAAACAGCAACCTGATCTTCTATGACACAGACCTGGAAGCCTGTGGTATTGACGTCTATAAGGCCTCAGTTTACTCAGGCATGTGTACCCAGATCTTTAAGGAGGAAACAGGGATTGTTGTTGGTACCATGTACTGCTTTGTTCACTTGAGCGTTCAAGAGTTTATTGCAGCCCTTTATGCACATCTGATTCTAGACATCAACAAGAAAAGTGTGTTTGATCAAGACTCTAAAAACAGAAATGAGTCCATGATTGATTTGCTGAGGACTGCAGTGGACAAGACACTTGAGAGTGACAATGGACACCTGGACCTTTTCCTTCGCTTCCTTCTCGGTCTGTCACTCCAGTCCAATCGCCGACTCTTACAAGGTCTGTTGACACAGCAAGAACACAATGACCAGAGCAAAGAGGAAATAGTTCAGTACATCAAGCAGAAGTTTGAGGTGAATCATTCTCCAGAGAGATCCATCAATCTGTTCTACTGTCTGAATGAACTGAACGACCAAACTCTGGTGAAAGAGATTCAGACTCACCTTAGCAAAGGAAGTCTCTCATCTGCTGATCTTTCACCTGCCCAATGGTCTGCTTTGGCCTTCGTGTTGTTGACATCAGAGGAGGAGATGGAGGAGTTTGAGCTTCAGAAATTCAAGAAATCAGACGAGTGTCTCATCAGACTATCAGCAGTCATCAAAACCTGCAAAAGAGCTCTGTAAGTCAGTCAATGTAAATTAAATTATGTTGTATTTGTTCCACCTAATTCTGTGGTTGTTTTTTTTTCTTTTATAGGTTAAATGATTGTAACTTAACAGACAGAAGCTGTTCAACTGTGGCTGCGGTTCTCAGATCAGAAAACAGTCTGAAAGAGCTGAACATGAGCAATAATAATCTGCAGGATTCAGGAGTGAAGCTGCTCTGTGCTGGACTGAAGAATATTAAGTGCGATTTAGAAACGCTGAGGTACATTCTGTAATAATTGACATTTTAATTTTAAAACTGAGCTCACACTTTGATTTTAATATTCTTAAAATGCAGTATGTACTGTTTTTATATGGCAGCATGCCATTTATATATAAGGGAAACGTGTCAATGTTCTCAAGATTACACAGATGAATGAAGTCTCTGGCAACCATCACTGTTACTATGGTTATTGCAAATGTTTGAGGGAAGTGCACTTATTTTGAACTGATCAAAGCTGACTGCATCTACCTAAATAATTAAATGATTTCATTTCTGCCAATTTAACAGACCATAGAATAAACAGTGTATAAATAGTCGCTGTATTCTCAATGCTTCGTCTCTCGTCAGCTTTACTTCTTGTTTAAATATGGTTCAGTTGTGTATTTTTCATTGTTGATGTTTAATTTTAGTCTCAGTAAGTCTGACCTGTCATTGTTATTAATTTTAATAACTTTTATTATTGATTATTAAATTGTATTTATCACTTTCCTCTAGTCTTTCAGACTGCAGTATCAGTGAAGAAGGTTATAAAGCTCTGGCTTCAGCTCTGAGATCAAACCCTTCACACCTGATAGAGCTGGATCTCAGAGGAAATGATCCTGGACAATCAGGAGTGAAGGAGCTCACTGATTTACTGCAGGATCCACACTGTACACTAAAGACACTGAGGTGAGAGAGAGGGAAATAATGAAGTTAGATGTGGGATATCAAAACAGAATTTTGTTTTAGTTTCACACAAAATTGTGATCCATTAAATGGTTTAATTCATCAGTAGCTTGAATGATCAGTTTGTGTTTTGATAAAGAAGGGCAAGTTATTATCATGTTAACACCAATGGTTATTTTCAATAAATCAAATTATTAAGCTGTTAAAAGTTGCTTTTAGTGCACTTTTATTCATGTAGTAAGAATGTTTAAAATTAAATAAACCCCTTTTGAATTTGTTGTTTGATTAATCAAATTCTCATATGCAAAAATCACAGACAAAACATTTGATTTGAAGCGATAATTTTTTTTTACATTGTCAAGCACTAGTTTTGATGTTTCTGTTGTACTGATGATAAATTATAAACACAGTCAGTAGATGTACTGTTTGATCCTCTGTTTTCAGGTTTTTGAGTGCTGCTGCTGATGAAGGCTGTCAGTTTGTGACTGGAATTGTGGGTAAAAACCCTTTACTTCTGAAAGAACTGAGTCTAAGTGGTCACGAACTAGGAGACACACGAGTGAATCAACTCTCTGCTCTACTGCAGGATAAACACTGTCAGATCAACACACTCATGTGAGTACTGCACATTAAACTAAACTTTTTATTAGTAATCTTACTGTAGCGAATAATATTTGCTGACTTTGATTATTTTTGTTTTTCACAGCATTAGTCACAACAAATTAAAATATTCAGTATCCTGACAGTTCATCATTCATTCCCTAAACAAACACAAAAAAGAACAGAAACTAAACAGAACTATTCATAACTTTGAATTTAATGTTTGCTTTTCAGTATCCTCAAATGTCCTGATCAGGGGTGCGTTTCCCAAAACCATGGTTAGCCAACTAAGGTCACAAGTTCCGTTGTTACAAACCTAGTATGTTGATTTGGCGTTTTCCAAATCCATAATTTCAATTAACATTCACAAACTGTGTCGCAAACTTGTGCACTTGCAACTACACCTCTGGAGCTGTGGTTGGAAGCATAGTTCCTAGTTGTTTTAGTCTAGTTTATTTGTTTATCAATGCACATTAAACAAGATTACTGTTTTTCATCTGTAGACCCCTTACAGAATGTTTAAAAGTCACACCTAAAATAGAAGCACAGCATTAAACATTAAATACATTTTCATATATAAAATACAATTACAAAATAAAAAACAAGAATAGACTGATGGCAGCAGAAGAGGACAAAAATCCAAACACAAACAGTACAAAATGTGTCAAGAATTCAGTACTAATGCTGACAATGCTGGTTTGTCAATAACCAGTTTTTAACAAAAGAACGAAAAGTGAGTGATCTTCTAATTGTTGATGGGATGGAGTTCCATTCCTTAGCAGCTTTCACTAAAAATACTGACTGACTGAATTTGCTTTTTTTGAGAGAAATAATACAGTCCCCTCTTTCACCACCTCTAGTTGTTCTGTAAGCAGTCATTCTAATATTCAAAAACTGATTTAGAGGTGAAGTTGGGATATATAGGGTCATTAAACAGATATGTACATATTTAATTACATTTTCCCAACTAAGCAACTAAGGTTGTGTTCTATTCCCACTTATCCCCCCTATGCCCTATTTATTCAGAACATTCTAACATTTAAACTTGGAATGATTAAAAAAGCATCAAGGTCATCTCTCTTAGGTGTAATTTGCTTTCAAAGTATTTTTACAATTCAGTTTTAGCGATTTTCATGTTTAAAATTGTGCTCCCTTCGCATTTTGAACACAGACGTGGCTCATGACGAAAGTTATAGGTGACCTATTATTTAAAAACGGAATTAATGTTACGTCTCCAAAGCTTGTGAAAAAAAACATAGCATGCTTTTAATTTATAGTAGGTTATTATTAAGTATATGTACTGTATAGGACATGGGCCTGCTGTGCTGTGGTTTGCATGTGTCAAATTGTAACTTTTCAAAAAATAAAAAATAAACAATATTCTACAACAATAAAGGAAACATTGGCCCTTTGTGTCGTTTAGATAAATTTCAATTAATATGGAAAACAACTGAATGTTATGTCGTTGTTTGGGAAACGCACCTCAGTGCAGCACTGAAGTAAATGAACATTCTTTTCCAAAACTTCTCAATGTTTTCTGCTACTAAAAATATCTGAGGCTAAATGAGCAATAACACACAAGTATCAGTGCTGTATGGCTTTATTTCAGCACTGCTGGGATTTGGCCATGGGCATGAGGTTCCCAGTAATGACATTTGTGTTGCTTCTCATGTGAATTTGCATATAAAACAGAAATCCTGAAACAATTTTCTCAAAAACATCAAAATATGATTAGATAGAGAGGTGTACATTCATTTCCTCCAATCCAGCACAAAACTGTTTGATCTGGAATGAGAAAGTTGGAGTTGTGAAGTGAAAATGCCACTATGAAACTAAAGTTTAGCCTGATGGAATAGGGGCAGTTAAATTTCTAACATTAGGTGTTAATTCATAGGTTACTTTTAATATACCTCTGGTTGTTTTTTTTCTTGTAAAACTGACTAACACTTAAATGTCATTGTCAATCTTCCACTTTTGCACTTGTTATTAATGCATTTGAAAAAGGACTTTTAATTTGTTAATGGTTGATTTCTGTATGTGCATCTTTATTGAAATAAAATGTTCTTATTACCAATATTTTTGGACCTTGAAGCACTGCTCTAGATAGTACAGTAGAATTACTCTACACAGTAGGAAAACATGCCACTGAACAGGTAACAGGCATATTTAAAATAAACACATTTACAAAGTTTATGAAGTTTGCATAAACTAAGAGGTACAAGTTTAAAAAAAATGTACAGATGTACAGATTTATATATTTATTAAGTTTATGGGAACTATAGACGGTGGCAGAATGTTGTGTATACTGTAGCTCTTCAATTAGATTATCACAGATATCAGTCATTGTCTTTTCTCTTTCTGTCTTCAGTCTGAGTCATTGCAGTATTACAGAGGAACAGTGTGTGATCCTGACTTCAGCTCTGAAATCAAACTTGTCACACCTGAGAGAACTGAACCTCAGTGGGAATCAAATAAGAAAATCAGGACTGAATCTCTTATGTGACGTACTGAAAGATTCACACTGTAAACTGGAGACACTGAGGTGAAAAGCATTCACAATACGAGAATCACAATTATTAAAATCACTTCAGCAGTTTAAATCAAGACTCTTTATTTTCATAATCTTATAATGAATCTGAGTTCACATTGTCATTGTGCAGTGCTTTGAACTTAGGATTTCTTGATTTGATGAAAATTAATGATCTCTTTTCCTCTATTGATGTGACTTTCTGCTGTCTTATATTCTGCTCTCTCTTTCTCTCTCTTTCTTCATTGTTCTCCGACAGATGAAGGTTGTTCTGCTGTGACTCATAAATGAAATTATGTTGTATTTCTGCCAACTAATTCTGTAGTTGTATTTTTTCTCTTGTAGGTTAAATGATTGTAAGTTAACAGACAGAAGCTGTTCAACTCTGGCTGCAGTTCTCAGATCAGAAAACAATCTGAAAGAGCTGAACATGAGCTATAACAATCTGCAGGATTCAGGAGTGAAGCTGCTCTGTGCTGGACTGAAGAACATTCAGTGCAAGTTAGAAATACTGAGGTAAACTGTGTGATAATTGACACATTTTTAAAATGTGAGCTCAAACTAAACTGAATTTGTGTTATATTCTTAATGTATTTGCAGTAAGTATTGATTTATAAGGCAGTGCAATGAAAGGATAGGAGAGCAGAATCTTTGTTCAGAAATTTGTTATCAACAAATTGCCATGCATTAAAGGGTTTTAAATGCATTAAGCAAAAAGCAAAAAACCTTGTGCAATTTATGAAATGAATGTGATTTGCCAAGTTATAGACAAGATAAAACTAGTTTTGCTCTCTGCAGTAAAATATTAATCAGTTTTTGTAAGTTATGATCTTTTTTGTAAGTTTTGTAGTTTTTATTTACACATTTTGGATCAGTCACAGACAGACAGAGAGTGTGAGAGTGAAATTTTCTGTGCATCTTATGGCATATCTAATAGCTCATAGTAGCATGTGTTATCTTCCTCTTTCCAAACTTTTTAAGCATGTTTGTGAGCTGGTTTATCTGCATAAGCTCTTTAGTGCAGCATTTATCAGTGTTTGCAAGATTACAGTGATGTATGAAGTCTCTGACAACATCACTGAGTTACTGTGATTACTGCTAATGTTTGAGTGAAGTGCATTTATTTTCAATAGAGCAAAACTGACTGAATCTACCTCTGCATTAAGTTATATTTTTGCACACATTCCAGCTATTCAGAATCAAGAATTTTAACTTAGCATAGATTAAACTATTTGTTAATAGCTGTAAATACATTTATAGCTCTATTTATTAATGACCATAGCCCGTAATAGCTGTATTTATTTATGGCTGTATTTATTATTAGCTGTTTTATTGTTGCTGCTTCACTCATCAGCTCTACATCTTGTTTCAATATGGTTCAGTTGTGAATCTTCAGTGTTGATGTGTTTTTTCAGGCTCAGGAAGAGGGATCTAGCATCATTTTTAATTTGATTAAACTTCACTTAATAATAGTTCCTTTCCTCTAGTCTTTCAGACTGCAGTATCAGTGAAGAAGGTTATAAAGCTCTGGCTTCAGCTCTGAGATCAAACCCTTCACACCTGATAGAGCTGGATCTCAGAGGAAATGATCCTGGACAATCAGGAGTGAAGGAGCTCACTGAGATACTGCAGGATCCACACTGTACACTGAACACACTGAGGTGAGAGAGAGGGAAATAATGAAGTTAGATGTGGGATATCAAAACAGAATTTTGTTTTAGTTTCACAAAATCTTGTCATGAAATTAATGGTTTAATGCAGCAGAAGTTTAAAAGATCAGTTTGTGTTTTGATTGGGATTGGACATGTTATCATGTTAACATTAATTAATAAACACAGACAATTTTTTGATTACTTTTTAATGCAGTTTTATTTTTTTTTCTCAATTATTATCATCTTTAAAAGTTCATTGCTCATTGTCTCTGAACACACACAGCCAAATGGTTTGTTAAAAGTTGATTTTAGTGCACTTCTATTCATATTCCAAGAACCTTTAGAATTAAATGCACTATTTTTATTTATTGTTAAGTTTTGCATTTAACAATTCAATTAAACACAGAAAAATCATGTAAATAAATCAGTCATGATTATTACTAGTCATTGTCCAGCACTAGTTTTGATGTTTCTGTACTGATGATAAATTATAAACACAGTCAGTAGATGTGCTGGTGTTCTGCTGTATAATATATAGATCTCACTACTGTTTGACCTTCTCTGTTTTCAGGTTTTTGAGTCCTGCTGCTGATGAATTCTGTCAGTTTGTGACTGGAGTTGTGGATATAAACCCGTTACTCCTGAAAGAACTGAATCTGAGTGATCAAGAATTAGGAGACACACGAGTGAATCAACTCTCTGCTCTACTGCAGGACGAACACTGTCAGATCAACACACTCATGTGAGTATTGCACATTTAACTAAACTTTTAATGGTAATCTTACTGTAGTGAATAATAATTCAGCATTAATCACAGCAAATTAAAACATTTGATGTCCTAACAGTTCGTCATTCCCTAAACAAACACAAAAAGCACTGTAAATGACAGTAGTCAGTTTGAAATCTGGAAGAAGCGTTTTTTTAAGAACACTCTTTACTCTTTGATATCCTGACAGTTCATCATTTCCTGAAAAAAATAGGCAACAAAACACTCTAAATGACAACAGATCATTTACAAATCTGGTAGAAATGTGTCAGATTTTTCATGGTTGTATGTTGGTTTGTAAAAGGTTTTGTTGTTGTTTGTGAGAACAGAAATATGCATAGCATTTATTTTATGTTTGTTTTTCATGAAATTTAAAACATATTTATTTTTAGCACAACATGTAAAATGTAAACTGTGATAGTATCATCCTCAACTGTCCTGGGGGCTATTCCATAAACCAAGCTTACAGAAAAAGCCAGGCTTATTTTGGTAAGTCAGGTTTATTAATGGCGTATTTGGTTTCAAAAATCAAATTTACGATAGTTCAAACTTAGTTACCCTGGCAACTTATGCTGGGAAAGTAGCCTGGTCCGGGGCAGGCTAACTCTCAGGCTAAGTCTTAAGTTCAAGCTTAATCAAAGTAATGTTAACATTCACCTGCCATAATCTGATGGCATTTTAATTTACTTAACCTCTTAATAATGATTAAAACTTTATAGTCACTTAATAGCAAAATATATATAATATAAATATATAAATAAATAAATAAATAAAATATATATATATATACTCCAAACTTTGCATTGGTACTGAATAATCTAATGTATATGCACAAATATATTATTGTAAAGCATCCTGTAGAAAATATTAATTTAAAAAAGAAATCTGTGAGGGGGGTTCTTAGCTCTCTCTGTCTCTTGATATATATATATATATATATATATATATATATATATATATATATATATATATATATATATATATATATATATATATATATATATATATGTATATGTGCACGTTTATTTTTTTTCCGGCTTTGTGATTTTATTATTCTGGGGTTACCACAGCGCAATGAACGGCCAACTTATACAGCATATGATTTATGCAGCGGACGACTTCACTGGGAAACATCCATACACACTCATTCACATTCCTACACTAATCCACCTATAGCGCATGCCGCATGTCTTTGGATTTGGGGGAAACCGGAGCACCTGGAGGAAACCCACGCGAACATGGGGGTAAGAAAGACACTGACTAATATAAAGAAGAACACTACATTTCTTAAATAATGACTTTAAAGCTGTAAAATGAGTGAAATAATCGGGAGATGATACGTGCTGAGCAGCAACGTCACTTTAATGTAAAGATATTTTCCCGTGGGCCTTGGGAAACACAAGTGGGAAAGGGAAAGCAACAATTTGCAGCAGATTCGGTAGCAAATTAAAAATCCCACCGCTTGTGCGTGCACGGCTCTTTATTTATTTTAAACCTATGCATGGAATCAGATTAGGCTCAAAAGAAATTCATACAAAAGACACGATGTACACATGCATAGCAAAATTTACGTGCATAAAACCAATTTTCATAAAATACTTTTCACAAATGCAAAACACGATTTGCAAATGTATAAGAGTGTACAAAAAGTTTTGAATGTTTAAAACTTGCGAGTTCATCCTGAATGAGTGTGCAAATCCTCTTTCACGTACGACTCCCCCTGGATACGCGTGTGTGTATTTTTGAGACTTTCCTGCCAGAGGCAGAGCAACTCGTACCTTTTAGCCAATCAGATGAGAGCTGTAGTCAATGACACCAACTCTGCGCTTCATTTGCGCAGACTGTTTCTCTCCAGCATGGCGAACGGAGAAAGCAGCAGTCGCACTTTTTTTTCATTTATTTAATTATTTGACCATGGCCTCACTCTTTTTATCCATTATTTTGCCGCAGCTCCACTCTGGCACCGCAGCATGTCGTTGTCATATTTCTTTTGCATTGTTTGCTGATTTTATTCAACAAAACTAGCCTAAACAGAGTGTTTAGTGCGAGTTGGAGCTACTTTGCCATATGGTGAATGCAGTAAGTGACTGTCATCATCAATAACGTTACCTGATTAGCACAAAAGTTCAGAACATACAAAAACAGAAAAAAACTTAATATTACCTATGAAATGTTCTGCCTTTGGGCTTTGTTTTCTTTGTTTGCTCGTTACTACACCCGTAGAAAAAGTCCAGCATCTTCACGTATAAACACTGTCTTGACTAGTGCAGTTGAATGACAGTTGTCCTGGGAGCCCTGTACAAATGTGGCGGCGCTATTGACGCATGCTCAGGGTCCCTATGCGATATCTAGTGTATATATCTATGGCGGCTCACTCGCTGTAAAACAGCTGTGTCTCATTTCAGACTAACACAACATAATCAATGTATTTATGCTCGACTTTTAAGATTTCACGACAGAAATGTGCACGAGCAGTTATCTAGATTATTTAAACTGAACTCAGACTGGTTAGATCAAATAATCTTCAACTTGCTGGTATGGAACCAATTTAAGCGTGGACATTTAGTTCAGCTCATTGAAGTCAGGCTTTTGACTTTAATCCCCGCTTTTCTCAACCACTTTTATGAAATAGCCCCCTGGGGTTTCCAAACAACGACGTAACTCATGGCTGAACTATCATAGTATGATGCATCACTTGGAAAAGAATGATGTAGTGACGAGTGTTTCCCAAAACCCCTAGTTTCTCTGACGCAGATCCATTGTTTGAACCACGTTAGTTATAACATAAAACACCTATAACGATGCTCTAAACTGGGTGGAGTAACTACTTTAGAGAAAACGTGCATGATTTCTTTGTGCAAATTATGTTGTTTTACACACACACTCATTTAAAAAAAATCCAATATTAGTTTCGGTAAAAACATGAACTCGATTTACATATTAATTGAAATATATGTAAACATCACATATAGAGCGCATGTTTCCTTTACTAATACTATTGAGAACATTTCATATTCTATTCTAAAACATAAAATCACTTACAAAAGCGAACATGTATTCTAATATCATATATAAATAATATCAATAAATAAATAAATAATGAGGCGATTTATGAAAAAATGAAATTTTATATGTATTTATTAGGAAATGAAAAAAAATCATACTTTAATAATAATAATAATAATGATAATAATAATGATGATGATGATAATTATAATGATTTCCCAGAGATGGGTTGCACCTGGAAGGGCATCCGCTGTGTAAAACGTATGCTGGATAAGTTGGCTGTTTATTTCGCAGGGGCGAACCCTGATTAATAAAGGGACTAAACCAAAAAAATGAATGAATGGATGAATGATGATGAATATTATTATTATTATTATAAAGTAGGATATTGTTTATTTATTTTTTATTCTTTGAAAAGTCTACTTTTACAGTTTGACACATCCCAACCACTGCAGAAATGTTCTAACTAGGCCCATGTCATATACAGTACAGATACTTGAAAGGGTGGTCCACTATGATGTGTAATATAGCTGTGTGAACAAACAACATCTCTGAATGTAAAAAGTTCTAAGTTAAATGCAAAGAGAGACCTTGGTTTTTAAAGTTAGCTTAGCAAAGCCTACAATGAACAAATTTTGGGGACTACAAAAAATACTTCCGCCCCCTGTGAGATCACAAAGGTTTGTTTACTGCACTCCCACACTGCGCAAGGGCCGTGGCCAGAGCCGCTGTAACGTTACTGCAGAGATGAAGCTAAAAATGCATCTAAACACTGCTGTTTCCACAGCGCTTCGTCTGTTTCTGTATTTGGGCTTCCAAAGGACACGACACAAAGACAGAAGTGCTTACAGTTCAATATTAATTATGTTCCAGAGAATTATAAAATACACAGCAAGCATGACTTGACAAAACGGCTTCCAGAATCTCTCCCAGTTCAGTGCTGGATTCGGCTAAAACCTCCTCAAAGCAGAAGCTGTGAAGTACAACCTGTAAGTGTTTTTATTTGTTAAAAGTGATCATGACACGTACAGTGTCTAGCGTTAATGGTATGCTGTAGCAACGATGTAAACAATGGGAAATGCTGCTTTGCGGGCAAACGATTTAGCAACAAATTCAAGTTTATCAGTCAAGCTGCTGTAAACACACACTCCACCAGCATGTTCGTGTCTCTTATGTGTGTGCGCGCGTGACTGCATTGATTGTCTTCAGGCTGCTTTTCCATGCTTTTCACATCTCAGATAATGAAGTCGCAAAAGATATGTGGATGATTCATATTACTTACACCTGCATATTCCGGATACACGTGAAAGGCGTCGTGTAACGCATAGAGTTAAAAAAAAAATACAGGTTAGCTTACCTGACTCGTGTGGCAGCAGGAAAATAAATCAAGGCTCACACAGGTCGCATCCCACATCTTGTGCTTTATTCTTCTGTCACGAGATATTACAGAAAATAACTTAATCCGAGCATCAGAGAAAAAGAAAAACTCCCGTGCACATGCGCTTGTTACAGAAAGTTCACACATTCACTCACACACACATAGGTGCAGACAACAATCACACCACACACACACAATGGCAAACGCTCTTAAAGGAGATGCACCCCATTTTCACTCATTACAGACACTTGTCAGATTTTATTTTAGGAAGCAGGCAGGAGATTGACTAATTGTTTACACAGCAGAAAAGCGAGTGCTTTTACGGGTGTGATGTGGAGCCGATCCGCGAATCGCAGCACATTATGGCGATGACCAATCAGAGTCACTTAAGGGCAGGCCTTTCAGAGGAACTAGGAAATTTGACAGTCGTTGCATGTTAGCTGAGTAGCTGTGTATAATCAAAGTAAGATAATTATAGGAAAAATAAAAAATAATACCATTTCCTTTAAGTGAAACATGAGCACACATTGCTTTGCATCTTATAAACAAAAGCAAGCCTTTATGGACCACCCCTTTAAAAAAAAACCTACTATAAATGGAAAACATTAGGGTATGCATGCTTTTTGTTTTCACAAGCTTTGTAGACGTAACATAAATTCTGCTCACAAAGTGCACTGCGAACGGAGCACAATTGTAAATGATCACTGTAGTAAAGTTCATTGTTGTGTGGAAAGAAGAATACAGGGTCGGCGATATACAGTAAGTAGAAGTTTCTTTATTTTGTGTGCATGTGTATGCGTGCGTGCGTGTGTGTGCGTGCGTGCTTGCGCTCTCTTCTCTCCCGACTGCTCGTCCTGTTCTCTGTTAGCCAGCACTCAATTTTGGGGATTTACACCTACCTAACTTTAAATAGTAACAGTTCCTGACTCCAGTAAGCTACAAAAACAAATTATGTATCATTGGAAAGAAGACACTTTGAGCTTTACTGTGGTAGGAGAAGTTGTATGTTAAAATATATAAAAAGTTATACATTATGAAGTCATGAGGAAAAACATTTTTTATTGTGTTTAATTTTAGTTTTCCATTTAGAAACACAGGAAAACATTAATGTAATGTCCTAGAAAAATATGACTTTAAAGCCAAGTATTTCATATGTTTACATTTTAAATTTAATGAAGATACATGCAAAATGAGATTACTGTAAAAAGTTTTCTGAGGCTATGTCAATGTCCTTCTGTCCCTCATTGTCAGAGGCTCTTTCTCAAAAATCATCTTCCCAAGTTTAAACATTTACAGTTGATGAATAATTTGGTCTACATTCAAAGTTTATGTATTTTTGGAAAGAAGACACTCTGGGCTTTGTTATCCATCATCAAGAGTTTATAATGCTCAAAATGAAAAAAAGTTATAGATGCTTAAGTAATGTAAAAAAATGATCCGCACTAAACATTTTATTATTTCATAAACAAATATGTGAAATTTGTTCTGGAGCAACACAGAAAAGCAATAGATCAAAAGCTACACATCTTCTGAGTATATGTTTTGAATTTTATGCCAATATCATGCAAAATTAAATTTCCGGAATTATTTTTCTGAGACAATGTCTTGTGTTTTCCCCTCTCCTTGTTTGTGGAGAAGTCTGGTGACCACACCTACTGAAGGTTTCACTGTTTTTTAAATTGTAAAATAAAGAGCAGAAATGTATAGTATGAATGATTTATTTGAACACAAGTAGTACATTTCAGCTACATGACAAAAAAACTGAATTAGGATTCTATTGTAAACAAGTGTGTTTTTCCTCTTGAGCAGCAAACACAATTTACTCTGATGCCCATTTATTCATATTTTAATTTCTACAGATAGCTTAGCTTATAGCAGCCATTCAGATGAATGACAAAACATACTGTATGATAATAACAACCATTATTGAAAGATTACGGAAGAGACATTCACACTTATAGGCACAAGCAGGCTAAACACAGAGAAGAACTGAGACGTAAACAATGAGGTCAGGGCCGGATTAACCAATGGGCCCCTGCGAGGGAGGAGAAAAAAAATGACAATTTCGGAGTGTCTTTTTTGGCTTATTGCAAACAGTGCATCTAGTTGGAATAAACAATTCAGGGTTTACGCTCATCGATGCCTGATTGATAGAGACAAGATGAGTAAAGAGCCATTATTCATTACATCCGCAGTGGCGCACCTTGCAAGGCGCACAGCTTCATCTTTTGACGCGATTAATCAAACTCGGTTCGAATCCACCATCAGCTGAACTCGTGCTACTTTTTTTTCCTCCCCATTACATATCAGATTGGAAATATATTTATTTTTAACAGGAAGTAAACATTTTTTAAAAATAATGCAAATGTGATATAAAGTCACAGTGTCTCGTGGGTATTTAATAATGTTTAGCCTTATTATAGGTGCCTCCGTCTCTGCAAAAACTATATTGCTCAGACAACTGTATTTCCTCTGAGCAAAAAAATCGCGAACACATATTAATATTATTATTATATTTAAACTGCCTTTTTTTCGTTAACTAAACAGAATGCTGTAATTGGTCAAGCGCGGAAACGTCAGTTTTGTAATAACCCGCACTAAACTGAGCGAACTTTAGTGTAACGTTATAACGTTATCTGTCATAGATCAAAAATGAGTGGACAAGTGGATTTAGCAAACGCGAGAGAAAAAGGAGAGGAGGCATCTTTATTGAGGCATTTTCCATACACACCATCTTTAAACAGACCCATGATCAGGAGAATGAGGGTACAGAAGAAGACGTTATGGTAACTTTAAATGATGAGAAGCTAGCATTAACCAGGCAGAGGAGGCTAACGGCAGCGCAGCGCGGACTGGATTCATTGTGTGAGAGACAGACAGAAAAGGAGAGAGAGAGAGAAAGGCCCAGAAGAGGAGAGAGACGGGAGAGAAGAGGTATAGTGTGTGTGATTTCGGATACTTTTAGGTTTATAATCAAGTCTTCATCACGAGAAGAGCAGAGAAAATACAGGGAGAGGAGGAGAGAGACAGTAAATCAGTGTTTGTATTATGAAAGACTCAGATTGATAGAACTCAGATTCATAGAACTGGATTGGAGAAGCATTGTGCGTTATATGCCATGGCAATAATATGCTTTATAAGTTTGTAAAAGCAATACATTAAAATACCCTTAAAATAATAATAATAATAATTATATATATATATATATATATATATATATATATATATATATATATATATATATATATATATATATATATGTATATATAGTTTTATTAATATTTTTATTCAATGCTTTGAAAAATAAGTTAAATCTTTGTAGACTATAAATACATATGTACTCTATATATAATTTATTTAAATATGTGGGCAACAAATTATAGATTCATTTTATTTAAATATTATTATATTATTCTCATTTTTTAAATTCAACTATAGGGGTGCGGCCAGGTAGGGGGCCTTACAAGACAATGTGCCCAGGGGCCCTTGAGTTCTTAATCCGGGCCTGAATGAAGTTCTCACTGTTAGAAAAACCAAAACTATCAGCTCTCCTCAGAAACAGTGTCCTCTTCGTTTCACACAATTTTTTTAAACTCTCTTCAGCAGATTACAACTTTTGACGATGCACTTCCAGTTTTGTTTTTGCAAACGAGCCGCGCTCGGCGGTAGCCTAAACTGTAGCAGCTGTGCTGCAGAGGGCAGGTGCGATCAAGTGATGATTGACAGCTCTCTGAGCCACTAACACTGCAATAATATTGCAGTCGACAAATAAGATCAAAATTCATGCAGTCATTGGTTCGTTTCTCTGTCAGTCAACCTTCTAAATTAAATGTGTTTGATGGGATGTTTTTCTGTGGACTCTTAACTTTTAAAATAAACCGTGATATACAGCAATGAATGCGTGTGTGTGTTGGTATTACATGATATGTGCGCCATCTAATAAGCTTTTTCTGCAAAACTTACACAAATTTAGCAAATACATTCTTTATAAGCTTTTCACTGAAAAACAACTAGCTGCAATGGGTGCTTAGGGGATGTAGCTTGTCCTTTTTGGTGTAATCTATTCATAAACATTGACATATGGAAAAACAGCGCCTCAGTGCGACCTCATCGGGGCGCTGTGGAAGGGGTTAAGAAGGGAGTCTTTCCGGCCCAATCTCTAGAAAGACAGGTTTTATTTATCATTTCTGATTGACCTGCTGATTAGCCGCTGGGCTCCGAGCATGCTCTCCCCCCTTATTGGGTGTTTGATCACGCTCGCCTCTCCACAATCACTAAAACTGAACTGTAAAAATACTTTGAAATACCTTTTTTTGCTTTTTTTTTTTATAATTTAAGTTTGAATGTTAGAATGTTCTAAATGAATAGGTCATGGGAGGGGGGAGGGGGATAACTGGGAATAGAACACAGCTAGGAACTATGTTCCTAACTACAGCTCCAGAGGTGTAGTTGCAAGTATAGGAGTTTGGGACGCAGTTTGCTAATGTTCATTGGAACAATGGATTTGGGAATTGCCAAATCAACTAACTATCTTTGTAAAGACAGAACTTGAGACCCTAGATAGGCAACAATGGTTTTTGGAAACGCACCCCTGATCGGTGCAGCACTGAAGCAAATGAACATCCTTTTCTAAAACTTGTCTGAATGTTTTCTGCTGAAGGAAACACTTTATAAAAACATTGAATTTTTGTCCTCCGGTGTGATTGAACACTCATCTGAGATTACATGAACAATATCACTCAAATGTAGTGCTGTGTGGCTTTTTTATTTGGCCATAGGTATGGTGTATGTTTGTGCATCTTTATTGAACTCAATGTTTGTCATTACAGATCACATTTATCATCACAGATCTCAGTCATTGTCTTTTCTCTTTCTGTCTTCAGTCTGTGGAGATGCAGTATTACAGAGAAACAGTGTGTGATCCTGACTTCAGCTCTGAAATCAAACCCATCACACCTGAGAGAACTGAACCTCAGTCTGAATAATCTAGGAGACTCTGGAGTGAAAAACCTCAGTGATTTACTGATGGAGACACAGTTCAAGCTGGAGATACTAGAGTTAGTATCATTATAATGTACAGCAGATACTGAGAGATTTTATTTATTTAATGAGAGTTTATTCTCAGACAACATAAATCAAATCAAAGCATTTATAAACTACACATTCTTCTTGTTTATTTGTGTATGTTTTCATTATTTGCAATCATAAAATCAGAAGTATTTTATTTTTATGTATTTTAAGTATTTTATTTTTTTTTGTGTTGCTGCCAAGTAATGTGTTTTAAAAAACTCAGAAAACAGGAAACTCTAGACTTGGATTATAGTTTATGTCCTCAAATTCTGCTCTCTTGATTGTTCTTTTATATTATGTTTTCATGATTTTGCTGCTCTGTTAGTGACTATACCTTTAACAATTTTGTATTTTACTCGCACATTAATTTAATGTAGTTTCAAGAGTTCACGCTTAGCTGATGATTGATAGTAAAGCTAGTTTGGCGTGCTGTCCCAGGAGAGAGCCCTGAGCTTATAAGATTCTCGAGCCCTGGGCTCCCTCCCGTTGCAAGGCGAGAGGGGAGTTTGAGCTCAGGTAGATCTCTATGACTCCCCTTCTTGCTTGTTGTAGCTAAGTGTCGGATATGTATGCTGAAGGTGTACTCAGAGTTTAGCTAATGTATTTTGATTAATTGTTTAAAGTGCTTGTTTTTGAACTGTGGGAGGAAACCGGAGGACCCGGGGAAAACCCACGCGACCACGGGGAGAATGAGCAAACTCTGCACAGAAATGCTGTTTGGTTTGGGAAGGAATTAAACCAGGGGCATTCTTGCTGTGAGGCAACAGCGCTAATCGCTGGCCACCGTGACGCCCGTTGGAAAGGAGGGAAAGTAGGGTTGGGTGGGGGGTTTCTTCAAGACGAAGATATTGAGATAAGAAAAGTCTGGTTATTTATAGTGAGTTAAGGATCGTCTGATAGGATAATCAGTCATTAGCTTAAGTTGGAACAGCTGTGAACAATCATAAGCACGTGATCCTCTCGAAATTTGTTTATGAATAAACTTCAATTAATGTCATTGTCTTTTCTCTTTCTGTCTTCAGTCTGTGGGATTGCAGTATTACAGAGAAACAGTGTGACATCCTGACTTCAGCTCTGAAATCAAACCCATCTCACCTGAGAGAACTGAGCCTCATCTGGAATAAACTAGGAGACTCTGGAGTGAAAAACCTCAGTGATTTACTGATGAAGCCACAATTCAAGCTGGAGAAACTAAAGTTAGTGTCATTATACTGTACAGCAGATACTGAGAGATTAATATGTTTAATTTTATAAATGAAGTTTCACAAACTAATTTCGAAAGGAGCACGTGATATGATTGACTGCAGCTGGCCACTCATCTACACTCATTAGCTAGCCAATCGGATCGATCCAAACTCACTATGAATAACTTAGCTAAGATCTACTCCCTTATCTTCGTTTTCCAAAGACAGCATAGAAGGACGGACACAGCTCCTCTTCAAATCCTCTCTTATCTCTTCATCTACCATACCATCACCTGCTACATTAACAACAACCTAGTGCAAAATGAACAACGACAGCACCAGCAAAAACCCAAAAAATTCAGCGGACACGTCATCAACAACCAACAACAACATCATGGAAAGAGCCGATACACCCGCTTCCCTAGGAACACCAGCACAAGGACAACAAGCCCCGACTGGAAACCAAACCAACACCGAAGCTCCCATAAGAGGCAGAAGACCCATCCGCTCTACGGTTTCAAGGACCCATCGCCGTACACAGTCTCCATCCCCCATAACTCCAAACCGCAACTTACCTTCTCCAGCTTCATCATATGCATCAGCAAGATCTTCATCCCTCATTTCAAATAAAATGTCAGTCGCCGAACTCCGCCAGACCATTACAAACGCAGGTGTATCCATCCCCAACCGCTGCAACAAAGCCGAATTACTAAAGCTCTACGAAGCCATCCCTTCACCAACTCCTCCCCCTCAGGACAGCAGACTAACTCGATCCCTGCACACCGCCCATCCTCAACCTACTTCTGCACAGCAAGCAACAAACCACCCCGGACCACCCAAGAAAGCAACCAGGAAAACCAATAAAAAACTACCTCAAGTTACTGGACAGTCTGCACCCGTTACTATTACCCTTCAAAACACAGATAATCCACCGGAAAATTACGCCACTCCAGGACTTCCCACTCCCCTCCTCTGGCCTCCAGCTCCACATTCCAGCGTAAACTCCATTCCTGCTCTTCCAGACATTTCCCCCTCTCTCAACCCTCCTCATTCTATTCTCCCTTCTAACCTTCCCCATTCTTCAACTCAGTTTTTTCCTACTCAAACTTTCCCTACGATCCCTAACGCAGTTCCTCTTCCTACTAATTTCCCCTCTTCTAATACCCCCTTTTCCCCTCTACATCCCTCCACCAAGCACCCACCGTCATTACTAACCCTCCCCAACAGTCTAACCTTCGTACTAACATCTCTTCCGCACAGCCCTCCTTCACTCTAAGCACCGACACACCCCTTCCCATTCCGCAAAATGCTCCAGTCCTGGAACCACCCCCGATTTCCAATGCCATCAGAAACCTCATCTTATCAGGTGCCGACATAGACCTTTCTACACTCCTTGTGTTTCGACCCTTCCTTCCTATAACCTCGCATGTCCTAATCTTCAATCCGCTAACGCTGAACCAGACGTGGTGGAGCATCTAATCAAGAAAGAGATGGATAACAAATTTATGATCAGTCCTTTCTTAATAATTCATAATTCCGCTTTTTCAAGCATTAACAGTTTAATTTCACCCGACGAATTCTCATTGAACTACCATGATATAGACCAAGCAATTTCTCTATTTAAACTCGTCGGCGGAACGCTTGGCTTGCTAAAGTTGACATTACGTCAGCTTTTTAAATTATGCCACTACACCCCGATTTCTGGCATCTTTTCGGCATCAATAGGAAATCCCAATTTTACTGCGCAGTCCGTCTTACGTTCGGCTGCAGAAGCAGCCCCAAAATTTTCGATATGCTTTCAGAAGCCATAGGCTGGATTTTCGCTAATTATTACGGAATCCCGCACGTTGTCCACCTCTTTGATGATTTCCTCATCATCTCTCCCCCTCATACCCCACCTGCTCAACACCTAGCGACTACTAAAGCATTTTTCGCTAAGCTGGGTATTCCCCTTGCTGAAGAAAAAACCGCTGGACCCAGCACTCGCATAGAATTCCTAGGCATTAATTTGGACTCCTAAAAATTTGAAGCTTTGCTGCCCAAAGAAAAAATCGATCGAATCATTTCTCTATCTTCCATATTTTTGCAAAAACAAGAATGTTCTAAACGCGAACTGCTATCAATATTAGGACATCTTAATTTTGCCATGCGTATCATTCCTCAGGGACGCCCGTTTATCACTCACCTCCTACAACTGGCAGCTTCCGTCCACAGCTTAGATGAAAACATAACTTTATCCGACCCCTGCCGCAACGAACTCAGCCTGTGGATTTCCTTCCTTAAGTGCTGGAACGGCTGCTCATTCTTGTACAGCGATCTAATTTCATCCCCCGTAGACATCCAGCTTTACACGGACGCAGCTCCCTCGTTAGGATTCGGTGGTTTTTATCAACGCCGCTGGTTCGCCTCTAACTTGCCCCCACAAATGCTGGAAATTCCTCTACCTCAATATTCGTCTGCTTTATTCAAATTATACCCCATAGTAGCTGCTGCCTTATTATGGGGAGACGAATGGTCTGCATCTAGCATTCTCATACACTGTGACAACGAAGCCGTCGTGCACTGCATTAACAGAGGGCGCTCTCACTCTCCCGCTTTAATGCCGCTTCTCCGTCGCCTTATTTGGACTGCAGCCAAAAAACAATTTATCATAACTGCTATACATGTGCCCGGTTTTCATAACCAAATTGCTGACTCTCTTTCTCGCTTTCTTTTCCAGAGATTCAGACAATTAGCGCCGGAGGCAGAGCAGCACCCGACTCCCATCCCTCCTTATTCAGAGATGATATTCCAATAAATCATCCAATGCATGAGCTGCACCAAACATCCATATCCCTCATTCTGCAGGCAGTGGCTCCAAGGACCTTACAAGCATATCTCACTGCATGGAAAACATTCGAACACTTTAATTTAACATACAACACTGTATTCCCGGATTTCTCCCTGCTTACAATAAGCTCATTTATTACACACCTTCATTCTCATAAAAACATGCAGGCAAACTCTATTAAGAGCTATTTAAGTGGTATTCAGTTTTTTCACAAACTCATGCACGGCTCCATTTCTGAATCCATTGCTAACTCCCAAGTCAGCCTTCTTATTAAAGGCATACAGAAAGCACGCCCCCCCCCCACCCCAGATGCCAGATTGCCCATCACACATAACATACCCTCCAAATGCATTTCCACGCTCAGGAAAGGCTACATATCTTTACATACAGACCACACACTAGATGCAATGTTTATTCTTGCTTTTTTTGGATTTCTCAGATGTTCTGAATTTACAGTAACATCAAAATTTGATCCTTCTATCCACCCTACTATAGCCGATCTGACCCTGATTGATGAGGAGACAATTTCTTTCCTCATCAAACAAAGTAAAACAGATCAATCAAGAAAAGGACATTGCATCTACATATTCAACATTCTCTCCTCCACAAGCCCTTTCCAAACACTCTTAGCTTACATACACTATAGGAAAACACTATGCAACAGTCCCCACAGTCCAGCCACAGCCATCTTAAGGAAGCCCAGAGGACCCTCACTAGCAGACATGCCAATCCCAGCGGCCAAGGGCACAGGCATAATCCAGGGACAAGTCAAGACCCAGCTATGCCAGCTCCCCAGGGGCGGAAGAGCTACCCAACTACGCAAGGGAGTGGGCACGACCCAGCCTCCTAACCGTTTTCCTTCTTCCAGTTCGAGTTGCACTCAGCTTTCTCTCCCTAGCCACTCACCTAACTACAGTAGAAGTTCCTCCCGCCCAAGCCCCCCCCCCGCCACTCCGCAGGAACACTCCCAGAGCACCAATTCTGCCTGTCACCCTCCAGTAGGAGCCTCCATCTCCCCCTCATCTCTCCCGACTCCTACTGGAGTTGGCCAAAATAGCTCACCCAACCCCGAGCTGTGACACGAGCACGAGTCACGTCACTGACCCTCCCTGGCCTTAGACCATTATTTTTCTTTATTTTTATTTCTTTCTCACATTTATTCTTTATTGTTCTAAATTTATTTATTTATTTATATCTACATATCACATATACATATATATTTATATATAGTGCTGTCACCTCACAGCTCTATCTCCGCAAGGAGTGTTCCTCGAGCAATTAGTCCTTTGGAGCCCCTGACCCTGACGCCGTGCTGCATATATGAGCGTCATCTTCACTGTGTGGATATTTATAACAAAACAGAGCCGATAACAACTGCCTCCTTTCAATTTCAGTGAAAATACGAAACATACCCTCTCTTTTGCTGAATATCAGTTTTAATAATTGATAATGGCCATTATACAAGTATAACATACAATAAGTTTATACATTATAGGAAATAAAGGCAAGCGATCAGTCAATATACAGAATGTACGTGCTTACATTAATCATTAACTTATCTTTGCGCTCAGCCAAAACACATTACCTGAGAACAAGTAATAGATTCCAATGACCAAAGTCAGGGAACATGTTGTTAAAGACAACAAGATGAATGAAATATCCCGTTTAATAAATATAGTGAGATTAGATCCAGCGGGAGATGCTTGATGAGAAGTCCGACTAGCAGAGCTCTCATCTGGGTAGATGGGCTGCAGCGCTTGCCAAAGAGTGTCTGTGTAGTCACGTGATGTGCGTTTTCAGCGTTTTGGTGTGGACGGAAAGCAGTTCAGAAACGCTGGGTAAAACGCGAGTGTGGACGCGGATCGTTTTCATTCTAAAACGCCGTTTTAAAACTAAAACGCACTAGTGTAAACGGGGCCTAAGTCTCTACTCCAGCAGGAGGATTCATAGCCCACGCCAACTCTGCTTGGGTTCCCGCAGGAGCCTGTATCACCCTTTGCTCTCATCGGAGCCCCCTTTGCTTTCTTTTCAAAACCACTATATCCAGCAGCCGGATATAGCATTTCAAGCCTTTTGGGGAGTTTCTTCGAATACACGGCTGCTGTCCCGAGTCCCAAGCATTTGGGGAGCTCTCGAGAACACCTGATCTCGTACTCCCCTCACATGCTTTATGGACCTGGCGGGAGCCCTGGGCTCAACTGTCTCCGAGCTCAGGGTTCTCTCCTGGGACAGCATGCCAAACCTGCTATCTTGCTAACAAGTTGTCAAACAGTATCTAAGTGTGAACTCTTGAAAGGAAGTTTCACAAACTAATTTCGAGAGGAGCACGTGATATGATTGACTGCAGCTGGCCACTCATCTACACTCATTAGCTAGCCAATCGGATCGATCCAAACTCACTATAAATAACCTAGCTAAGATCTACTCCCTTATCTTCGTTTTCCGAAGAACCCCCCCATCCACCCCTTCTCCTCCTTTCCTCTTTTGCCGAGGGGAGCTCTCGAGAACACCTGACCTCGTACTCCCCTCACATGCTTTATGGACCTGGCGGTAGCCCTGGGCTCGACTATCTCCGAGCTCAGGGTTCTCTCCCGGGACAGCATGCCAAACCTGCTAACTTGCTAACAAGTTGTCAAACAGTATCTAAGTGTGAACTCTTGAAAGACAACAAGAACAGTCAGTCACATCATTTATAAACTTTCTTGCTATAAAATGATTCCAAATGTTTAAATATGAAAAGCTTTCACTGCAAAACCAGAATAAAAGTAGAAACAGACTAAAGCTGAGTAATTGCACATTATATTATTTTGAATAAAATAATATTAAAATGTGTGGTAATACTGTTTAATTCTCTAAAACGGAATTAAATTTTAAAAATACTTCAAAGTATATTTAAATGACTGGCAATCATAAAATCATTAAGCTTTTTATGTGTGTGTGTAGCTGGCAAAATAAATGTTCTTCACTACAAAAATACACTTAAATAGTGTGACTCTAGACTTGGTTAATAACTCGTGTCCTCAAACACTGCACTCTTGGATTGTTGATTAATATTACATTTCCATGACTTTAGTGACTGCATGTTTAACTCACACATGAACTTAATGTGGATCTCAGTCATTGTCTTTTCTCTTTCTATCTTCAGTCTGTGTGAATGCAGTATTACAGAGGAACAATGTGTGATCCTGGCTTCAGCTCTGAAATCAAACCCATCACACCTGAGAGAACTGAACCTCAGTGAGAATCAAATAAGAAACACAGGAGTGAGTCTCTTATGTGATGTACTGAAGGATTCACACTGTAAACTGGAGACACTGAGGTGAGAAACTTTCACAAAATTAAACAATTTAAATCAAAACACTTCATATTTTCTCTTTTATATCTCACAGTGAATTTCAGCTTTTATAATATTTTTACTAAATTTCTTCACTTTTCTGATGATCCTGAATTAGATGAGTGTTTAGTGCTGATGTTGCCTTTATATGCATTCAGAATAGGGTCTACTAGATGATAATTGTGTAAAATTTGTCAAATGCATGCTAATTTCACTGTTCATGCTAAATAAAACATGCCTAAAATGATTGTTCCTATATGCAAGTATGTGCTTTAGCAATGAGGAAAACCCAAATAATAATAATAATAAATAACAATCAGCAGCAGTAGATCTTTTCTCAGTGTTTATGGCTGCCAAACTCAGAAACAAAGATATAAAATAATAAATAAGTAAATAATAGCAGCAGCAGCTATAAAACTAGTACTGGTTTGAGAGATCACTGATGTCCAATTTCTGACTAGAATTAACAATTTCTAAATGTAATTGATAGTAATGTGAAGCAGCATAAACTCTGCAGGACTGAGTCTCTGCACAAATGAGTTCATCACTGCTGCATTAAACCTGTGATCAAATGAAAAATATTTCTCACTTGTTGTCTTTTTCTAGATTGTTTGGCTGTGGCATCACAGATGTTTCTTCTTTAACTCAGTGTTTAATGAGCACTAAAGCTCTGCAGTTTCTAAAAGAGCTTGATCTGAGTTTTAATCACATTGGAGACTCAAAGCAGAAGCTCATTGATGTGATGCGAGACTCAAACTGTAAACTGATGTGAGTAAACAACACTGATATTAAAGATCTTCATTTTCCTCTGATATGAACAAATCTTTCAAATGTGTCTGAGATGAAATGATCAAATGATCATCAAGCTTTATTTGATGAGCACAGAGTGTGCAGTGTCTGCAATAGATGAAGAGAAAGGAGGAAAGAGCAGAAGAGCTGCGAGTCAGAGCTTTATCCAGCAACAGCTGCTTTATTAATGTCTTCAGCAGTGAATCATTCCAGTCTGAAATAGTCTTGGACAGACTCTAGAAAACACTGGTCAAATCAGTGCAGATTCAGCTTCAGCAGCACATCAGCAATGACTCTCGCTCTTCTGAACTCTCTAATATAACATTAGTCTTCAGGCACAGAAAGTGTTCAGACATCAGCTTGTGTTTCTCAGCACTCACAGGCTCAAACACATGAACACCAAAGCTGCTTAAATGTATTAAATTGAAAACACAGATGTTGTTTTAGAAATACAGTACGTGTGCAGGAGAATATTAAGTTAATAATTGTTCTGATTACAGGAATTTATTATGAATTTGTTTACCAAAAAGCAGTAATTGAGATGTAGTAGAAATGAATTTGTTCTGTTTCACTGAACATTGACTGTTTTCTCTTCTGGTTTCACCTTCAGAATAGAGAATTAGTTGCCGAACCCTGAAGACTCTGGATGCTGTATATCATAGTCAGCTGTAAAGATGTGAGAATCAGTGAACATCAGTTGAGGATCCACAGAAGAGTCTCAATACTGTGGTAAAATGTGGGATTAAAATGTAAAGATAAATGTTAAATCAGGTGAAGAGACTCAGAATGACAAGCAAATAATGCAGCGTGTGTTAAAAACATGATATTGAATCAGAAAATATTTTCATGTGGAATCAAACATTCATTATGCAATTAAATGTTTCTAATTATTTGTGTCATTTTAAGTGCAGCTCTTAAATGTTTCAACAGTAAAACTGAAACGAGAACATTTTGTTTTAAAAAAGGTGCATAACCACTCTTACATTTCATACATAGCAGATCTTTATTACTGTATTATAGTTTATTTTATATTATCCTGGCTCTATATGTCTGTTGCTGATGCTATTATTTAAAAAAAAAAAGGTAATTATTCACACTCAATTGCTTCGTACTGTTTTTATTTTTCTTACGTTATACGGGTGAATAAAAGACAGATGTTTCTGCACAAAGCCTTCATCAGTGCGACTCTGTTGCTGATGCACAAATATTCAGTCTATTGTGTTTGTTCTGGATGGAGTTTCTCCTTCGTCATTTCAGATCAGTTTTACTATTTTAACCAGTTAAAGCATTTGTGTCATTTCTCTGCTCTAGTCACTGTAATATAGTTAGTTTAAGCTGTATAATTTATATTGTTTTTTTTATTCATATTTGTTCTTTTATTTGAGGTTAATAATCAGATTTCCAGAAATAACAATAAGCATTTAATAAATATATCATTTCTTAATAATTTTGCCTTATCAGTTCTTTTACCACACATCAAGTCACCAATAAAAGTGTGATTACTTTTTTACAATAGTGATTTTTGAATCATAAACTAAATAATTTGAATTAAAATAGTTTGATTTATTAGTTTTTATATAGTTTTTTGTAAGCTTGAAATTATAGCCTATTAAAATATCTAAATGTTCAAAAATAATTAGACAATTCTGTTATATTTGTATATCAAAATATGTTTAGATGAGATGTGCAATGTATATTAATATTATAAATGCTAATATTTCACTTACCAGCAATTCTCAATGTAAATGAACAAATTTAAAATAATACATCTTTCCTATTCAGTTCTGCACTACGCTTACGTTTACGTACTTGCATCATTGCGTGTCACAACGTCATTCAGCAACATCAACAAACCCCTTATAGGCTATTTGATTATTCCCCCAGGAAATGGTGGTAGGCCATCATTCATATAGGTGAATAAAAAGGTGAATAAAAAGATTACATTTCTGGATTTTTATTTGTTTTTAAGGAAGTTTTAGAGGCTGGCATGCTTCCACGTCTATGTCAAGGCTTAATTACACTGTTACCTAAACCCAATAAGAACTGCCTGCTTCTTGACAACTGGAGAACTTTAGATTAACTTAGAACTTTAATTAATGATGCTAAATTGTTTGCTCATATTTTCACATAAGGATCAAGTTATGTTTACATACAATTATAGATAAAGGTCAGTCAGATTTTATGCAAGGATGTCACATTAGCAATAACATTAGATTAATTTTAGATTTAATTGATTTATAAAGAATTTATAACTGATAACAGTTAGATTTTATTTACAGATGTGTATATATAAAGCCTTTGACACTGTAAAAACAAACATTTTTATTTGATTTATTAGAACTTTTTGGTTTTGGACAGTACTTTAAAAAGGCAGTACAAGCTTTATATACTGAGTGTAATATTTCAATTGAACTTCCATGAGGAACAACTCATCGCTTTCATATTTCTCTGGGAATAAAACAAGGAGATCCAGTAGCTCCATTTCTGTTTCTTTTAGTTATGCAAGCATTGGCTTTACTTATACATAATGACTCAATTTAATGTATTTGTATAAAAGACAGAGGAATTAAATGTTGTCAGCTTGCTGATGATACCCCAGCAAACATTGGTCGGACGACGACGTGCTCTCCCCGGCCAAAAGATGTCGCTCCGCGACGGCATCAATGGTGGTCTGAAAGCGACATGCTTTCCACAGCCAAAATTCGTCGCGACCGAACGGCACAAATGCACAACATGTCCTAAAATTCATTATGCTTGTATACATTTAAACATGTCTATTTATATTTGGGGTTGCGTGTATTTACGATTTAATGTACATGTAATATATACCATGTCCTGATTAAGTCTACAAATGACGTCCTTTACACGTGCATTTTTAGTCCATCATACCCTTGCTGAAATTATGAAATATTAAAAAGTATTGCACTTACATCTGGGTATAAACTTAATATATGTGTGTCCCAAGTGGGTTCGTGGACAGATTTCAGGCATCTAAACTTATTAAAAACATATTTATCTTTATGAAATACAGAAATCACTTTTATTTACATCTTGTCAACTGACCAATTACATTCATAAAGTGTCCTGTGCGGTGAAAAGATATTATAGTCACTGTTTCTAAAACCATAATGCAATTTTATTTATTTTTTGCACCTAACGCTAACAAATCTCGCGATATGACTAACATAAGGCTCGTTTGACTTGGCCAAAATCTGCGCAGAATTGATCACCGGTGATCACCGCAAGATGCAGGCCGGTTAGAAATGTGTCCGTATGAGGTGCCGTATAGGATTTAAATCAAACTTTGCTTATCAACACATACATAAAACACGTGTATATACACCTATAAATTACTCGCATATACACCTATACTACTGGATGTTCAAAACAACATGGATGAAACTTGTGTATATACATATAAACTTGACGCATGAATACACCCACATACACACGCACATACATATAAACTCGATCCTCACATAAACACTCACATTAACACACGCACATACATATAAACTTGCTGCATGCAAATACACCTATACACTCTTGCATATACATATAAACTGGATTCTCGCATAAATACCCTCATTTACATGCACATACATATAAACTCGCAGCATGCAAACACACCTATACATACTCGCATATACATATAAACTCTGTCTATGCATATACACCCTCAACAACACGCGCACATACACAAACTCACTGCATGCAAACACACCTATAACATCTCGCGCAAACATACAAAAAATAAATAAATAAATAAAATTCACAAACATTTATCACAAATCTGGTTATTGCAAAGCTTATGAAATAGAAATAATGTGATTAATAGAGGGATTAAATATGTTAAATTATGAACATATGTTATATAAAATATTAGTCTATATAAATAGACTATTCAAAATAAGAAATATTTTTATTTAAAACCTTTTCATTTAATTAGGTAATTACATACACAAATATAAATGGACAGATAGAACCCTTAAAGGACGTTCAAAAAGCAACCAGAATTATAAATATAAATGTATACTCAAACTAAACTCCTCTATTCTATTGCAAATGTTAATGTAGCCTATAGTCTTCTTGTTTTGTTTTTTACATTTTTATAATTATTATGCTTTTTATATGTTTTTACAATGTGGATGTCAAAATTGCAAGATTTTGGTATAATTTTGATTGTTAACTATTCAGCATATCCAAAAAAAAAAAAAAAAAAAAAAAAAACCCGCTGATTAAAAGCCTCTGCTCATCATGTTGGTCAAGTTAACCCCCATGGAAAAGCTATATATATTATCTGGACACTCCTTTTGTGTTTAATAACTAACTACTACTTATATTTTTACAGCAGCTGGCATCCAGCATTTTGGTGCATTAGCCTGTTTATTGGTGACAGGAAAACCCACTTAAGTGCATTCCTGCCCCCTACTGGACATAAGTGTGTATCATAACCCTTGACGAATAGTGACACCAATAATAAAACAAACATAAAAAAAACTAATATTAGACAAACATATTTTATTCAAAATGATTACTTAAGCAACTTTACATTTATTAAACCATAATAACATTTCCAATAATTTAATTGCATAATAAACCTTTAATTTTGCAGGAGCATTCCTTTGCATTACCTTTTTATTTATTTATTTTTTAGGATTAGCATAAACTATTTTCATAATTCAACAGATGTAATTTCTCTAATAATCACATTATTTCTGTTTCTTAAGGTTTGCAATAACCTGATTCATGACAAATAATAATCTTGCTCATTACACTCAAAGGACTTTTACGTTGAAATTAAACGACTTCCTTTTAAAGTGAAATAACTTCCTTTTACTGTGAAAATTCATGCATGCACACATATGAAATCACTTGCATATATGTATATACACAACTAACTGTATATATGTTTGTGAATTTTATTTTGTATGTTTGCACAAGTGTCATTTGGGTGTTTATGCACACATCAAGTTTATATTCTTATGTGAGAGTTTATGGGTGTATATGCATAGATCAAGTTTATATGTATATGCAAGAGTGTATAGGTGTGTTTGCATGCAGCAAGTTTATATGTATGTGCGTGTGTTAATGTGAGTGTTTATGTGAGGATCGAGTTTATATGTATGTGCGTGTGTATGTGGGTGTATTCATGCGTCAAGTTTATATGTATATACACAAGTTTCATCCATGTTGTTTTGAACATCCAGTAGTATAGGTGTATATGCGAGTAATTTATAGGTGTATATACACGTGTTTTATGTATGTGTTGATAAGCAAAGTTTGATTTAAATCCTATACGGCACCTCATATGTCCGCCTTGCCTTCGCCTCGCTCTGATGTCACGCTGACGTGCGCCAAAAAACTCTCGCGATCGCGAGCCGGGTACCTCAGATAGAGCAGTCGGCCGCAGTTGCTCCCAAATGGCCAATAGTATGATCCTGCACAACTGGAGTAGCTGCACTCTCAGGACCGCATTTTTAGGACCCTAGTTTTTTTTTGCGAAAGCGCCACCTACCGGATTGGAAAACATAGTGAAACTGCATTTCTAGGACCCGTTTTGTAACTGCGCCACCTACTGAATTGGATTATATAGCAGAAACTTTCAGGCACTTTTTTCCAGAGGTTAAAGTGTAAAACGCCTGCTTTAAATAACAATTTTAAAATGAAACAAATGAATGTACACCTAAAATATAAATGAATAAATAGAGTTGAGTGCCTTAAAAGTCTTAAATTCCTTGAAAAATACTGTATATTGATGAACACCATTACATTGAACTAATTAGCTCAGTATTAGGGAAAATAAATTGAAATCAAATGGGATCAGCATTTGCAGTTACTATTTTAAAACCAGGTTGTAAAGGTTTTAGAGAGTCAAGACACAAGAATGATTCAAGAATGTACTTTTATATAAATATCCACACACTCTTTTTGTATTAATGCAATTCAACCACAAAAATGACCCCACTGTTTATTTAGTTGCTGCATTCAATTTTTTATTCCTGTGAATGAGAGAGAAGAAGAGAGTTCAAGTATATGTATATACACACACACACACACACACACAAACATATATATACATATTATATATATACATATATATATATATATATATATATATATATATATATATATATATATATATATATATATATATATATATATATATATATACACATACATACATATACATGCATATACATATATATACATACATACACACAGTGGGGTAAATAAGTATTCAACACGTTCCCAATTGTCTCAGAAAACATATTTCTAAAGGTGCTATTGACCTGAAAACCAAAGAAAAAAAATATATGAATAGAAAACAAATCTAATTACTTTACAAATTGTTATCAACATCTGGTAAAAATTTCAAGTCAAGAGCACCTTTATAAACATGTTTCCTGAGAAAAATGGAAGCGTGTTGAATATTCAATTCAGTTTCAATTAACTTCATCTTTATTTCTAAAGCACTTTTACAATGTAGATTGTGTCAAAGCAGCTTAACAT